GAACAACCAAGACAAGGTTAAATGGATCGAGCAGGAACCGAGCTGAGCGGCAAGAGTGCAACAATGTGACCCATCTACATCAACAATGGACGAGTACTGTGGATGGTGCCTTATGTGACGGGACCTCGACCCAATTCTTGAGGGCACAAGTGAGAGACATATGAGTAAATGTCAGCTGTGTGCAACAAGATAGTTGGGTGTGATCTAGGCGTCGATGAGGGCATCGACATAGTAAGTGGGGGAGAGTGTCATGGTTAGGCCTTGGTCCTGCCATGACTGACCCTGGACCAAGCAGCGGTCGAAATCGAGCTAGCGGGAAAACGGTTCTAAGGAATGCGAGCGTGCATTCGGAGCTTGGGAACATAATGCTAACATGTTGTAGGGGCAATGGGAGCCCTGAGCCGCAAGATATGCGGGAAAGTTAGGGACAGTGGTCGGACACCCTCAAGCCAAGTAACCTGATAGGTGCCATCTGTGGAAGCAGTGTGCGGGCGTTCTGAGCATGGGAATAGGTTAGGGACATTGTGTGTGGACGGTCCATGTCCTAAACCCCGAGATATGCAGGTACGTATAAGGCAGTACGCCTGTGCCCTGGGACCAGCTAGCCAGTCAGGTGCTGTCAGTCTAAGCCATGTGTGGGCACCTTCGAGTGGGTTGGTGGAGCAACGAGCATAATCAAGGAGCAATGGTGACCAAGAGGAAGGTTACGGGGCCCTGAGTTAGCCGGAGAAAGGCCCTGAGGTGGCTGGGTAGAAAAGTGTCCCCGTTTCAGACATTCTTACGGTCACTGGTAGCATATTGGAAAAATCTCTAACGCTCTTTATAGGGGGACGTATGGTGTCAGTTCTCCACCACCCCCTTGGCTAGCGGGCAGGCGGGGGCCTGGCTAGTCTGAAGTGAGCTACTCCTAGGCACTCATGGTGTTTAGGTGGGCGGACATCGTAGGGTCACGAGCGTGGCACGATGTTTCCTCGGGTAAGGTAAACCCGAGGGCGGTTGGCAGGCGGGCCTCGTATCGCGTCTTTGCGTTGAACCATGGGGTTTGGACGATAGAGACCGTTAGGCCCCTCGGTTTCCCCTCCTCGAGCCGGAAGGATCAGGTGATGGTGTTTACGTACGAGGGATACCATCGAGCCAAAGGGATGCGCGGACTAGCTAGCGGGCACGCTGCTAGACCCCTGTGGCCAGTCGGGCTGGTGGGCTGCAGCTAGGGCCGTCCACCCAAGGACCCTTGCGGGACTGGACCACGCGATGGTATTCATGTAGGAGGGATACCATCGAGCCAAAGAGGATGCGCGGGCTAGTAGGCAGGCACGCTACTAGACCCCTGTGGCCAGTCGGGCAGCTGGTGTACTACGGCAGGGACAGTCCACCCAAGTCCCCTTGGGGGACTAGCATGATGTTGGGTGTCAATCATGCGTGCGGGCGGATAATACTGATGCTAAAGGGCGTAAGCCCTAAGAACCGAGTCCCATGGGACGAGTGAGCCTAGAGGCTCCGAGCTGGCTGCTGACCAGCGTAAAAGGGGATGCTTGCGTAAACTTGACACGGGAGCTTGCGTATCATACGTGCAGGCGTGGTGTTGGGTTCTCACCATGCCAAGATGTAATAACATCATGAGAACCGGGGCTGTGTGCCCCTACGAGATTCGAGGGTCGGGGCTCGAAGCACTAAGCCTTACGGCCAGAGCTGGGTGCTCATGGTCACTTGGAGAACCGTGGGCCGATGCGCGATGAGAGATGGGTTCCTCTCTATAGAGTTTGGAATGAGAGACCCTACGAGGTCGAAGCCAGGAAAGACTCGTGGGCATGCAGTTTGAAGGATCGGATTTGGTCGATCCGCGAAGAAAAATGGGCATGGTAAAGGCTGACCTTGACTAAGAGTAGTCTTGGTACCGCACGATCGCGTGATTTCAGTAAGGGGAACGCGTGGACCGTGACACAAGGCCTCCTCCTTGTGACCCCTTAACTCAAAGCTGCAAATCTGCAACAGCAGGCCAGGTAGGTATCTTACTCTGTGCCTTGTTTTTCAAGTCCATGGGAGCTGGCGGCATTAGGCCATGTTCCATGCCATTTGGTGCGGATCAGTTGAGCAACAAAGCGAAAAGAGCCTGGAAAGCTACTTCAGCTGGTATTATGCTGCAGCATCGCTTGGTGGTTCGCTTGGTTTGACGATTGTCATTTACATTCTACAAATATATGGGTGGAAGGTTGGATATGGAGTTTGTGCAATTCTAATGTTTCTGGCTGCTGTGGCGTTTTACATAGCCTCTGCCCTCTATGTTAAGCAGAACGCAAGCACGACCCTCTTCACTGGCTTTGTACAAGTTCTTGTGGCTTCTTATAAGAACAGAAGCCTCCCAATCCCATTTCCATCTCAAAAATCAGGTTACCACCAAGGAAAGGATTCGGAGATTGCTGTGCCAAGTGAGAAATTAAGGTTTTTGAACAAAGCGTGCATAATTAGAAATGCTGAGCAGGGGATATGTCCGGATGGATTGGCCTTAGACCCCTGGAGAGTCTGCACGGTGCAGAAAGTCCAAGAGCTTAAAGCAATTTTTAAGGTCATACCGATATGGTCTACAGGGATCATGATGTCAATAGCCAGAAGCCAACACACGTTTCCGGTACTCCAAGCTAATACCATGAACAGACGTTTCCGGAGGCTTCCATATACCAGCAGCCTCTTTTAACAGTGTCCGTTTCCTGCACTGCCGTGGTTCTATATGAGCGTGTGATAATTCCATTGGCATCAAAGATCAAAGGTAAACAAGTATATATCAGTGTCAAATTGAGGATGGGAATTGGGCTATTCCTCGTTGTCGTAGCCTTGGGACATACAACAATGGCTGAGAATGCCAGACTAAGCAAAATAATCCAGGAGGGGCAGGTGAAAAATCCTACTGCAATGGTAAATATGTCGGTAATGTGGCTTCTCCCACAGTATATCGTGCTGGGCGTGGCCGAGTCTTTGAGCATACTTGGGCAATTCGAGTTTTATGATCGGGAGTTCCCGAAGACCATGTCAAGTATTGGTAATTCCCAGTTCTGTCACTGGCAGTGGCACACTTACTGAGTGGTACTCTCTTTAACATTGTCAATCAGACTACTTCAAGAGATAGAAAACCAAGTTGGGTTGCAGACAATCTTAATGAGGCTCGATTCGACAATTACTATTGGCTTCTAGCAGGGTTGAGTGTTGTCAATGTGTTTTATTACATCATTTGTAGCTGGTCTTATGGATCTACCTCAGATGTCATTGATGAAGGATATGTATCAGAGGAGGAATAAACCTGAGAGCACTGATATTTTGAGACAAAGAAACTAAAAAGCCAGGAGTGAAATGCCTGATCTTAGTCTTGGATCTTGCCAGCCAGCCTGGTTTATGTTATGGCAGGTTATCGAGCCTTGATTGTCAAATCTAATGTTCTACCCTGCATAATCTTTATTTTCTGGCATCAATTTGCCTTCAATGATCTTATATTTCATTCTGTTACCATTCTTTATATTCTTTTCCAGAATGCTTAATTTTTGTACTGGAAATCACTTGCTAAAAAAAATTCTAAACACAGCTTTTAGCTTTTACTTGGATCAGGAATTTCAAGCGGCCATATATAAATAAATTAACAGGTTGGCTCTTTTTTTTTTTTTTTTTTGGCCACAAGAAAGAAAAAATCAGTAAAAGGTACTACCCAAAAATCCTGCAATATAACCAAGACCTACGGCAGGAACTCAATCCAGCAGGAAAACAAACAACAATGATCTATGGTGGAGCAGGAAGACCATCCCTGCTAAGCACAAACACAAGAGTGGATGGTGGCAGCCTTAGCCATCCATTTGGGCACATCCCCTCCCTGAATTGAGTAGCTACCCAGTCAGCTGACTTATTGGCTGTTCTAAGAATCAACTTAAACTTTTTTCTCCTTAATAGCACCCAGCATCTGATCAATGTCACACAACACATGCCTGTCTCCAACTCGAATCTCTCGTCATTAAGGCTTATTATCTCAATCACCTTTGGCAAAGTCAAGTAACCAAAAACAAAAAAAAATTCAGAATCAGTTTAGAAAATGAACTGGTCAGACTTTTTCTAGCTGTCAACTTCACCCCCTCCCTGCAAGCCAGTCCCTCTTCAACAATAGCAGAATTAGCTTTAATCTCACCCCCAATACCATCCACTAACTCCCCCTTGCTTCCCCTAACAACTACACCAAAACCAGATTTCCCAGTCTTCTCACAGAAAGCACCATCACAATTGATATTCAACCACCCTTTATCTGGGCAACTCCACTTATCAGAAACACCAGTAACCTGTTTAAAGCCACTCCCTCTCCAAACCTTCATATTACTCATAGCATCATCATACTTCTGCCCTACTACTCTAAGCCTGTAAATAGCATACTGAATATTAAGTTCATTCCCTCCAGCTAACACATCACATCGTGCTTTCCTAATCATCTAACAGGTATAAGCAACATACCTTTTAATCCTAACACAGCTTCCTTCACAACTTGGATCAGAGAAAATTTCCAGCAACCACTGATTAAAAAGTCCTTACACAATACTTTATCGATTCTTAAACCAAAACAAACTGCCATCCACACCCCTTTAGTCCACTCACTCAATAATAGCATATGCTCAAGATACTCTTCCTCTTTAAAACAAATTCCATAAATTGAATTCCCAGCACACTTCCTTTTCCATAGATTATGCCTTGCAGGAAGTGCATTTGAACATGCTCTCCATAAGAAAACTTTATCTTACTAGGAACCTTCAAACTCCAAATTTCCTTCCAGACCCTGCCATCGACAGAATATGAGCTAGATGGATGACTAAAGTCAGAACATACAACCTTTCTCCTCTCCCTATTACTAGACCTAACAACCTAAAACATAACACAGTAACACCATACAACAATGATATTAAAAAAGATATGAAGGTAACACAGTTTAAAATTTTAACAAAAACCATATGAGTTTAACAAAAAAAAAAAGAATTTTATGTTTTTCGTATCGACACGAATTGTGACCAGCAATTTTCATGTAAAACACAACATAAATACACGAATTATTAGTGTTTTACACAATATGAATACTCGAATTGCCAAGTCTACCTATAACCCAGACATCACAGCATATAAACCACTCTCATTGTGAGGCCACACCAGCCTATCTGGTTCCCTTTGACAGCTCAAAGGTATCACCAAAATAGCCTCTCTTTAGCGGATATCCAGGGTGGGGGGTTTAATGACTCCTCAATTCAGTGGCAAAAATTTACATATGGTTTGAGATAATAGACAATCACAATTCTTCAATTTAACCAAATAAAACCAAAAAGTTACTTAATTCTCTTTTATTAAAATCTTTCAATCCCCTTTAAAAAAAAGTACATCTTAATTATTTTATCTTAAGTAACATGTTTTAGTTCTCAAAGCTTACTCACTTCAGAAACAGGGAGTCTGTTTGAAGCCATCCACTGTTTTCCTAAAGCAATTAGCTCCCCATTTCCTTTCCTTTTAACTTCCACGATCACTTGTGTAAGCGTTCCTCTGTTTGCAATAGCCTTTGCATCTATCTCCACATGTTCCTATACCATCAAATATTTTACAAATTTCAATCAACAGCTTGAATTAATAAAACTAAGATTTAAACAAGAAACACTAACTTGAATCTTAGCTGTTGAATAATATGAAATGCTGACATCAAGGGTAGTTATGACACGCTGGGCAACAGAGTAACTAGCAACAGCTCCAACAATGTCAATCAAGGTTGCTATAGCTCCAACATGCCAATTCCCATCAGCATCCTATGCATAATAAAAAGACAAAAAAAAAAAAAACCCATAAAAGATTGTTGCATGGTGAAAGCAATTGTTATAATTTAATGATCAAAGAAAACCCAGAACACTAGTTGATTCAGATTTTATACTGAAGCAAGACTTGGCACGATGAGATCAAATCGTATAAATCCCTTTTCAGCTTGGATCATGCGCAGTCCTTCAAGGGTTCTGGTCTCCAACCCATGGCCTATGGCACCTTTTACAAGACTTTGTAGCCATGCCAGGGATTTCTGCACAAGATTTTCTTCCATATCTTCAAACTTCCCTCAGTTTCTGTAATTTCTCTTTGTCGCCTTTACCAAGGAATGATTTTCTTTTTTCTCTCTCCGTAGTGGTAAAGCCTTAATAGTCATGCTAGGATCAAATTTTTGCAATCATTTTCAGTGTAATTTCTTGTTGACTTAAACCTTATCTTTCATTTTTAACTGGCAGGGGAAAAAAATAACAAGTCAAGGTCTTCTTTGGAAAAAAAATACACTTTTCTTTTTTAAATTTTGAAATACAAATTTTTTTGTTTTTAGTTTTCAAAATTTTGTATTGTTGCTTCTGTTTAGAAAAATGGCCAAAGTCATGATTAAATAGGATATTAATAAATTACACTATTCTTTTTAAAAAATGACCACAATAATGGCTATTTTAATATGAAAACAAATTAAGTTTAACTTATTAACGATCATTTCTTCTGTGATAATAAATATCAAAAGTTCGCTGTTCACCATTCAAGTTTTCTCTTTTTTTTCTTAGTTAATTTTATCATATGCATAAAAATATAAAATTACCATTAATCCAAATTAGTTAAAGTATGTTGTTGGAATATGTGATCAGATGGACTCAAATTTATTAGTACATTTAAATAGATATTATTTAATTTTTAAATTATATTGAGTTAAAATTTTATTTTTAATAAAATTTCATATAAATGTTATTAGAGATGGACCGAGATACAAGTGTTCTATGTATAATCACAATTATTTATAAAAATTAATACTAAATATCAATGGCAATTACTTTTGGTAAAAGGTAGATGTATCAGTTTTGATCCGAATTTTGAAAACTCGCCCAATTCATTATAATCCAGTCCAGCCTATTTTGACTGTAAAAAATCAGTAACTCAAATTTGTTCAGCCCAAAATTGAAAATAATTTTAATTCAAATCAATCTAAATCGAAATTAATTCAAACTCAAAATGCCTTGAATCTGAAATAAATTGAATCCAAAATTATTTAAAATCAAAATGACTCAAAATTTTAACTTAAAATAATTTAATATTGAATTAAATATGATTTTATTTTAAAAAATTAATTTAATAAAAATAATAAATATAAAACAAATAAATATAACACAAATGATAACTCATTAAAATTATTGAAAATATCAAATTAGTATAAATTTTATAAGGTATGTTACTTATAAATTTTTTTATAATTTATAATATGATTTAAAATTAATTATATATTTTTAATTATTATAGGTATAGGTACATATCAATGTATCATTTGGAATAAATTATCTAATCTCTAAATCGTATTTGATATATAAGATTATAATAAGATAGGATAAGATAATATTATAAATATAATTAGATTAAATAATGTCATCTTATTTTACGTTTAATGTGTGCAAGGATTAAATTAGAATAATCTATTTATTGGTCAAAATTATCATTTTTCAAAGTTTATATAATTTAAATTATTAATGTAATTTTTAAAAGTATAATAAGATATTTAATTTAATCTTATGGATTAAAAATAATTATCTCTACTTTGAAATAATTGAATTATCCTATATTAAGAGAATATAATCTTCCTTATAATCTTATTATTTTTAATTAGATACAAACTAGATATAATATAAAATTATTATCATACTATCCTATATATTATCTTATACACCAAACATGATTTATAAGTATATATAATATCAACTATCATGTAATTAGAATTAAATATATAAAACAAGCTATTGATTTGTGTATATATGTTGCATTTATATTACAATTATATTATTAATTTTTAATAATGTAATTTAGAATAAATTATATAATGAGTTATAATTATATTAAAATTCAAAATAATAAGCTATTAAATAATGAGTTACAATTATACTATAATAATTATTTATATTGTAGTTATATTACTAATATAAAAATATTTGAATATTAAATATGTATCACAAATAAATTTTTAAAATAATTTGTATATGATTATATTAAATATGTAATTGTGTATTATAATTAAAAGTTTTAAAATACTCTTTATATATTTATACAAACAACAAACTAAATTTTATATATCATAATTTTTTATATATTTATATTAAATTAAAATAAATATAAAAAAACCTATTAAATGTGACAAACATGTTTTCTATGATTAATATGTATACTCATATGACATGATTTAATCAAATATATTTTTTATGCTTTACGCATGTCAAAATTTGTGTATGACATAATTAAGCATAGAACATATCTTTCTAAGACCTATAAAAATTTTTTTGTATAATTTTGATATCATATTATCATGTCGTGCTTAAATTTATCAAATCTAATAAAAGTATTTTTTTTCACTCATATAAAAATTAACTTCAATTTAAAACATACAAATTATAATATTTATATTTAGTTTCAAATATTATTTTATTTACTTTTTATCTTTTAATAATGCAAAATAAAATTTAATCTCGATCAAATATTTTATTTAAATTTAATATAATTTTATTCAAAAAATTAATAAATTGAAATCAAAATGATTGGAACTCAAATGACCTAAACCCAAATAATTCAAATATAAAACTTTAAATTTGGGATAACAACAATTCAGATCGAATCTAATTTAGTTTGACTTTTTTAATATTGTATGATATTACGAATTTTTAAAATCCAATCCCAATCCAAAATCGATACTTCATATAATCCAACTTGAACTGAACTAGAGTTTACAATTTGGTTTATTGATTTTTTGAATTTAATATTTTGTTTTTATATATTATTTTAATATATTTAAATAGATTTTGATATAAAATTATTTTTTTTATTTTATAAAATTTTAAATTATATATAAAAACAATAATAATGTATAATTCAATTCGATTAGGTTTTTTTTCAATTTTTTACCTGTTAAACCAAAATCTGATCTAAATCTAATATATACATTTAATATTTAAATTTAATTTGAATTAAATAAGAAAAAAAATGGAGCCAAATTGAACCAAATACTATAATTTTGAATCTATTTTTAATTTTTTCAAATTTTTTTTTTTACCTCTGCCTGCAATACCCAAATTAAAATGATTCGTACCATAAATGATTTGAATCCAAAATAATCTAACATTGAAACAATATGAAACTAAAATGACCCAACTTGATCTAATTTTCTTTAAACTTGAAATAACTCAAATTGAATTGCCCGAACCCACCCAATTGATAGATCTAGTAAGAGGTTTTTTTCTAAACTATCTCTTTCTTAATCCTTATCTATCCACCTAAAATTTTAAGACGTGGAGTGTGAAATTTTGTGTTTGCTACTCTAATAATTGTTTTATAAATTAAAAAGATAAAAAAATGGTTCAAGGAGCAGTAGATCCCTAAAATTTCATAACACGAGCATCTATAAATTGACACTGAAAATTCAAATTAACATTGAAATAGCCAATCCTAAATTACTAAAATTTTCAGTGTATCAGAACTTTAGTATATGCTTGTTTTCGTCTCTAAATTTGCTTGAATGGTAGTCTCTATTATTCTCTTGAAATTCACTTTAATCTAATAACAAAATGTTGATATTTATTTATAATTCTTTTGTATTACTTTTTAATTAAATACTTACACAAAACAATTTAATTTTTGTAATTACCTATGCATAATGAAGGTAGATTTCTTAATACATATATAAGTTAAAATCAGAAGTTAATTATCTTTTATGATTGGGTTTTACTTTTTAACCTTGTTTCCTTAGTCAAAAAGTTCCAATAAAATAAAAAATTAGGTTGACTAAATTATAATATGTTTAAGGAATAATTCAATTGATAGTCATATTTGACTTTAAAAAAAATGTTAAATATAAAAATAATTCTTATATTATTAATTTTTTGACAACTTAGTATCTGAAAATATAAAATTATTAATTTAATATTCAAATTTTCATTTCATCATCCATTATAATATTTCAAATTAACATCATTAATTAACTTGGTGATGTGGCATAAACATTATCAATTGCCATATCAATATTAATATAAAATTTCAAAAAAAATTTTAAAAATACAAAAATTTTAAAAAAATTCAAAATTTTTTTTAAAAACATGAAACATTTTAAAAAATTTTAAAAATGAAATATTTTTAGAAATTATAAAAATTAAAAAAATTAAAACTTAAAAAATAAAAAAAATCTCAAATTTTTAATTAAAAATAATAAAAATTTTAAAAAAATTCATAAAAACTTTAAAAATTTTAAAAAAATCTATTTTTTATAAAAAATTAATAAAATCTAAATTGAAAAAATAAAAAAAATAAAAAAATTTCAAAAAGCAAAAATATGCTGAAAATTATAAGAAATTTAAAAAATTTTCAAAAATAAAATTTTCAAAATTAAAAAATTTAATAAAAAATCCAAAAATATTCAAAAATTTTAAAAAATTCATAAAATATATAAAAATTTAAAATTGTAACATTGAAAAAAAAATGAAATTTTTTCATAATTTTTAAAAAATTGTTACAATTTTTTCAAAAATTTTAGATTTTTTTTAAAAATTTTAGATTTATATTATTTTCATTTTTTAAAAGTTTTTTTGATATATTTTAATTTTAAGACAAATTTGGTTTTATTAAAATTTTCATTTGCTTTTAAATTTTTCAAAAAATTTTGAATTTTTTTGGATTTTTTATTTAAATTTTGATATTTTTTTAAATTTTTAAGTTTTCATTTATTTTCTAAATTTTTTTAAAATTCTAATTTTTAAAATTTTTTAATATTTAAGATTTTTTAAAAAAGATTTAAAAATTTATAGAATTTTTTAAAATTTTTGTTATTTTTCCTATAAATTTTCTTTTAATTCTATTATATCAATTGATGATGTAGCACTAACTGATTTTTTTTTACATGTGTCAACATATTATTGAATATTCATTCCACATATCAATTAACTGACAGTATTAGTCTTGGGTAACAAAATGGATGATAATAAAAGTTGAAGTATGAAACTAAAAATTTTATTTTTTAATTACCAAACTGACAAAAAATATATAATATAAAAATCATTTTTTTATGTAACACTATAAGACGTTTGATTTGCATAATCTTAAATTTCAATAGAGGAAGTGATTTTTGAAAAAGTATGATTTCTTGTTAATGAGTGATTTTTCTTGTTATAGAAGTGTTAAATTTTTGTACTTAGTTAGTAGAATATCAAATTATATAATAAAGATTTTTTATTATAATATTCGTGTGTAATAATGTCAAAGATTATGTTTTTGCGAATATAAATATAGCCTTTGATCAAAAAATATAAATTAAAATAAACGTCAAACACTATATATAATAAATCAAAGATAACAAACATTACATTTTTATGAAAATAAATACAGTATTAAAAAATAATTAACCACTACGTTTTGAAACCAAACAATTTGCGTTTAATTAAAAACAACTATTTTAGAGGAAAAAAATATAGTTTTTGGCTTTAATAAAAAATTATGTTTATACATGTAGAAATATAATCTTTGATTAAAGACCACGTTTCTTACTTGATAAAGATAGTCTTTGAAAATTGATTATAAGAATGATAATGGTGAAGCAAACGGCCATCTAATCACGGTATCCAACAAGATCACGCTTCTTTAGTCTTTTCTTTTGCCGCATCTAAGTATGAAGCACTATTGCTTTCCCCTATATACGTGGGCCATTCCTATTGTTCAACCCAAGAAATTTCAGGCGTTCATTTATGCTGCCATCTTGTATAGATATCAACCTCGTTTCGTTACTAAAAAATGCGGTCTCTATTATTTTTAAAAGATTATGATAATATTTGATATATAAGATTGTTATAAAATAAGATAATATAATATTATAAATAAAATTAAATTGAATTAAATTATTTTATTTTATATTTGATATATATAAAAATTAAGATAAAATTATTTATTTATTAATTAAAATTATTTTTTTTCAAAATTTATATAATTTAAATTATTAATATAATTTTTAATAATATAATAAGATATATAAGTTTAATAATCTCTTATTTTTTCAAAAGATAGAATTATTTATTGACATAAAAGATCTAATCTTTTCAATAATCTAATTTTTTTATTTAAATACATAACAAACATATGATAAAATGATTAATATTTTATCATTTATCTAATCCTATAGGTTAAATGTAACATATGTTTTTCGTGCAAAATATGTTATCTTTTTCTTTTCAAAAATTATATTTTTTATATAAAAAATGTGATTTTTATTATTAAAACATTACTTTTTTTACATAAAAACATGATTAAAAATATCATAAATATTATTTTATAATATTATATTAATTATTACGTTTTCAACATATGAAACATCATTGATATAAAAGTATTTATTTTATTTTATTATTATTATTTTCATCGATCTATTATATTTCATATATATATATATATATATATATATGTAATTCTTTCTTTTGTAAAAAAAAGTGTCAAAATAGATCTTTATTTATTATGTAATTACATTGATTTTTAAAAATAAAATAAATCGAAAAATTTTATTATTGAAATCAAATGTAAAACAAAAATTTTTTTTTCAAAATCTTAAAAATTCACAAGAAAATATAAATTTTTTATTCCAGAATATTTTAACATTGTTGAAAATCTTATAATACTCATAAAAATCAAATAGTGTGAAGTAGATGTCAGAATCACATTACGAAAAGTAAAATTCTAAGAGATAATCCAACTTTTTCTTAACCAAATGTACTCTACGGAAGGAAAAAGGAACAAGTATATTATCTTTTTTTTTTTTAACTTTTACTAGCACAGGAGGTAGGTAACAGTAAACTTGTTTTAGTAGGAAAAAAAAAAAACTTAAAACAGGAATCCCACTTCTTTTCGCACCACTTACACATTAAGGGCTGAGATTTCTTGTGATATATACATGGCTAAAAGGTGAGAGGGAAAAGTAAGCCAAAGCTGAACACAGTAAAATTTCACAGTATGCAATATGCCTCCTTAATTTCCAGATCTCAATTAATCAATTTGCTGCCAATCCAAGCATTACAAAACCAAAATTTACCCTTCAAAAAGATGCCAAAAAAGGAAAAAAGTTTTTTCATCCAGAAATATCTATAGTTCTGCACAATCAATTACTGACTGGGGATCAGATCAGAAGATACACAGCTGATTTCCCTTAAAATGACAGCATAAAATAATTTCTTAAAATTTCTCTCTTATTAGTCAGTTCACATCCATGGAAGGGAACCATCCTAAGCTTCTGACCTTTAGTTTCAACTTTGATCTCCGATCTACTTATTGTGTACTAACTTACAACATTTAGTTCAGAATAAAGTTGGCTTACTTTTCATTACCCAACTGTTTCTTCAGCTCTTTCTTGTTCACCTGGAAATTTAACCAAAAGTACATCAATGGAAAAACCTTGGAAATTTTTGCCTACCAAGTTAACCGGCAGAATAACATTTAACAATACTTGCTTGCAACAAAAAGTTGAGAAGAAATTCACCTTTCCCATGGCATTACGAGGAAGAGAATCCCACAACATTAATCTTGTTGGTAGCTGGAAACCAGACACATGGTAGTTATTTTAGTCAATGCTCAAGCATAATTTGGAAAATGCAATGAGTTAATTGAAAACATCAAATGGATGGATTTCTCATTATAATCACACTCAACTTAACTGCCAAACGAGTAAATAAGAAAATGGCTTTTTCTTGTTTTTAAATTTGTTCTCCGAGAATGATACACATTGAGGACTGGAGAATTGATTTTTAGTTCATGTTCTGGGGAGTGAGAGATAAAGGGAGATAGATTCTGGCATGCTTGGCTAGCTGAGGCAGTGAAAGCGGCATACAATTTCAGGAAATTGATGGGTCTCCTCTCTTCTCTGACAAGTTAATATTGAATAAATACAGGAGGATGTTTGAATTTTGAAACCAGAACTTAAGATAGATGAAAGGTTCTTGAGAGAGTGCAAAACGAGAGGAACTCTTATCCTGCTAACTTCATAAAATCTTGGTCTGGTGGAAGATAAAAGCTTTAACTTCAGCTAATACGTTTGGTATTCATAACCTTTTCGGTTGGCACCTGAAAAAGCCGGATTATTGGTTCAAAACTTTCACTAAGCCATTTTTAAAGGTCCAACTACATGCATAATACTGCCTCATTGTTTAGTACAAAGTATTAAACAGGCTTCCAGTTAATAATTACATCTGCAGAAATTAAGATGACATTGAACTATAAGGTCTAGAGATCATAATTCAGTATAAGCATGACAAAGGGAATTAGAAAACAATAGTAATGCTGCAGTACCTTGTATGGAGAAAGTTTGTCTTTAGCCCAGTTGCGGAGCTCTTCCAAACTCAAAGCAGAGTTTGACTTTTCTTGTTTCCTTTTTGCTTCCAACTCTAGCACCACTATTGCAGATACAGCTTCTCCATAATCCTTGTCCGGTAAGCCCAATACACAACATTCTGCTATATCAGGGTGCTGCAAAAAGGCAAAACTTTTTGTATATTGATAATTGTTTAATCATCCCAGAGGAAAGCCTCTTTTTTGAGGAAAGCCTTTTTTAACTTTCAAAAAGGTGTCATGACCCAAGAAATTGGAATATAGAGAGAACAAGTAGTTACCTGTAAAAGAACTGATTCAATTTCCAAGGCTGACAATTTGTATCCACCAACCTTCATAATATCAGCACTTGTACCTGACCAAATTACACATAAAAGAATAAAAAGCATGAACACAAAATAAGTAGCAACAAAGGTGTCTACAAGGCTTTTTGGTCATCATGAAATAATAGGACAAACTCACTTCCACACAATGATGGCAAGGAAATGAAATGCAGAGAGTAGAATCAAGAAGTATGGAAGAAGGAATAGTAGAAACGAAGGTCACGTAAGGGAGTGCATGACAAGTAAAGAGACATTTGTCCCTTGGTCATCTTTACTTCTCTATGCCATCATAATTCACCAAAGAGAGGCAGAAAACACCAGCAGTATTTTCTAATCTCTCACTCTCTAATGAACACCCAAAAGATGTGATCCCCTGCCCGACTCGCTTTCTTTGGAAAACATAGAATAGGCATGTGACGCATCCTAGATAAAGTATGAAAATCCTCTGTTCTGTAAGACATGAGGACTGGAGCATTCTTCAGAAAGAAACTGGCAATCAAAAGAGGGGCACAGGGACCATACAAGGAGGATGAGATATAAAATTTTGAAATAAATATATGCTCAAAAGACAGAACTAAAGAGCGTAGGTAAAGCCAGAACCGGAAATACAGAAAATTGTTTACTACAGTTGCCAGAGAATTCATGAAATGGTCAAATTGGACCCAAGTTAGCCAGTAGATTATTGCAAAATGTAAACTGCGGACTCAGATTTTAGCAATTAAGAAGATGGCTATTTAGCTGATGCCCATAAAAGACGATACTTTTAAGTTCTTATAGCCAAGGTTCAGTTTAGACTCAACACAGAGTCCATCATACTATCATCATCCTGACTACTATAGGAGATCATTTGAACACAAGACTTAAAGCTAAATTGTTGGAGTTCAACCAAACAACAGAGAAGTGAATGACCATACTCCACGTCCAACAGAAGGTAAGGCAGAATGTATTGACAGTAACAACCAGCAGAATCAATTGATAAGCATATTAAATATTGTGCATTACGAAAGTGCTAAAATGCATGTCAATTATCACCAATTGTTTATTAGGAAGGGAAAAGGATGAAGATCAGATTACCAAGCAATGTTGGCATAATTGATTACAAGAAATGAAAAATCAACAATATGAAACTAGATCTCCTTACGTCCCAAAATGACATAGTATCCATCTTCATCCACTTTACCAGCATCCCCAGTCTTGAAGAACCCATCATCAGTAAATGATTCCTTAGTTACCTATATTCAAGAAGAAAATGAAATTGAATGAAATTGCCATTGATGTAGTTAAAGCATTTTCCAATTTGCATAACACATCTCATGGACATGTCTGCCTAGCCCAACAATCTCAGACATTACTTCGTCCTTTACTAGGGGAAGGGGTGGACCATATCCCTAAATTCAAGAACAGAAAAGCAGCATGAGCCACCAATACTAGGTGGCTACAACATCTGTTCCTCGACTAGAATTATAAGAAATAAAATTGGAGAACTAAATTCTAGTGAAACTGGGAAATCCAGAAAAGATTTTAGTATTGGAATATCGGTGCATTTTTACATAATCCTAGAGCAATGACTATATTTGATAAAAGAGAAAAGAAAAACTGGAGTAGGGGAGATTATTCCATTAGATCACAAGAAAATTTCAGATGATAAAAGGAAATACCTGAGGAAGTTTCCAGTATTCCTTAAACAATGAAGGACTTTTAACACAAAGCTCACCTACACCCAGTGTATCACCCCCGCTTTTATCTTCAGCAATCCTGACCTATTAGAGGTAAATAAATAAAAAAAAATTGTCTAAAAATGTGAAGGAATAACAATTGTAGAATAGTAACCATTTTGGAGAAAAAATGGTTTCACTATAATGCTTCTTCTGTGCCTAGTACGGAAAAACCTTTTCGAATTATTATTTTGGATCCGTGTCTCCTTTTTCTACTTTATTTTCCATATAAGAAACCATGTTTTCTCCAGTAAATCCAAGAGTTCAACAGTAAGAAGCAACCATGTTTTCTCCAGTCGTATAGAAAAGAAAGGATATAATTAGAAAAAGAAACAAGAAAAAGATCGCAGATTATCCCTGGCACACATTGCAAAGCAGGGTTTCTAGGAGGTGCAAAGTTGTCCATCAAACAAGTTTTCTCTTCAATGTCCACTTTCTAGAAACATGCTTGGAGAAAACCAATTTTCCAGTTTTTTTTTTCTTTTGGCCAGAATTTTCCACAGTTGAAGACACCCTTATATATTATTCTCTATGAAACAAGCAAAAAGATATTGCCCAAAATTTCCCCATTTATTAACCATTTATTACGAATGCTTCAATTTGCAGCTGTTTATTTATTATGAAGTTGCAATTTACTTTTCCCTCTTTTTTTTTAGCTAAATCCAAGAGTTCAACAGTAAGAAGCAACCATGTTTTCTCCAGTCGTATAGAAAAGAAAGGATATAATTAGAAAAAGAAACAAGAAAAAGATCGCAGAATATCCCTGGCACACATTGCAAAGCAGGGTTTCTAGGAGGTGCAAAGTTGTCCATCAAACAAGTTTTCTCCTCAATGTCCACTTTCTAGAAACATGCTTGGAGAAAACCAATTTTCCAGTTTGTTTTTTTTTTTGGCCAGAATTTTCCACAGTTGAAGACACCCTTATATATTATTCTCTATGAAACAAGCAAAAAGATATTGCCCAAAATTTCCCCATTTATTAACCATTTATTACGAATGCTTCAATTTGCAGCTGTTTATTTATTATGAAGTTGCAATTTACTTTTCCTTCTTTTTTTTTTAGCTAAATCCAAGAGTTCAACAGTAAGAAGCAACTATTATCATATCAAATGTTTAAAGGCCCTGCATATCCCTTTTTAAAACATCAACGACTAGCAAAATCAGATACCATAACCAATGAATCCCTACTTACCTGTACACCAGGAAATGGTTTACCAACTGTGCCTGCTTTCCGTGCACCCCTTAAGGGATTTGATATTGCCATGATAAACTGAATATATGCAGTCCAGTCAAACAGCATGACCATAAGAATATTTCTAACAGACAAAATGCATGAATTGTTGCCTAAACCAGACAAATAACATGAAAATTGGCCTTGAATTTGAGTTTCACTTACCTCAGTCATCCCATACCGTTCTAAAAGGCAGTGTCCAGTGATGGTTTCCCATTCTTGCATGACAGGTTGAGGAAGTGCAGAAGAGCCACACATCTGGAAAAAAAAAAGTACATTTGACTCTTTTATAGAATTCAAGTCAATTTATGACAAGGTTTAGACATCATAAAGGATTAATTTGACTGCAAATGGGCAGAGGCAGAAAGGAAACCTGGTACTTCTACCCAAATTTTTAATTAACATGTTATGGGAAAAATTTTGCAGGCAACTTACCATAAGGCGCAATTGGCTTGCAGCAGAGGCAGATACAGCTTTTTGCTCTGTATCCATTGCTTGATAACCTTGTATCAATCTAGAGTACATGGTTGGAACCTGTGCATTACAAAGACAACATAAATTTCAAAATTCTGCACAGACTATTTCATAATAAGCATGATATTGTAGATGTGGGATTACAGGCACAAAGGTCATGCAAGGAAAAAAAACAGCTGCTGTCCCTATAATTTGCATGATACAAACATAATTTTGCAAAATAAAGTTTTTGAATTAAGAAGCTGAAAAGCTTTAAAAAAGAGCAGCATCTTCATGCTCGGACTTGGGTATGGATGTTGAGCACATGCCTCATTCAGCACAGATCCATTGAAATTCATAAGTTTTTCCCCATATTTGGAGGAATATAACTAAATAATAATGTATATTTGAGGCATTTTATATTTTTCCCATATATTTACTCAAAAATAAAATCAGGAGTCAACACTCTGTACCTTTATGATTCTACTCCAGCAAGATTAAACTGTACTAGAACAATCCACTATATTAAAATACTGAAATGATTAAGGTGTAAACTACACTTACTCCTGTAAAAACAGTAATAGCATCATCAGCCTTAGTCCCATTCATTGGGTATGATTCACGCCATCTTTGCCAGATACCCCTCACGCTAAACTTTGGCATAAATTCAACCTACAACAAGAATACCAGATGTATTACAACAATAATACTTGTTCAATAACCTATCCAGAAATAATACAATATGTGGGAAAACACTTATTTACAGCTAGTTGTAATCTTGTAATCTGTATATTTATATTTGTATCTCTAGAATTAAGTATTTGTATCCCTAGAATTAAGGACAAAAATTTAGGATAAACAAACCCTCAATTATAGGATCAGTTTTTATGAAGATTAGTTTCCTAGTTTAACCTCTAGTTAGTTGCATATAAACCTAAAGTACTTGTATAATTCTTTATGAGCAGTTTTTTAATATACATTCAATTTTACTCTTAGTTTTTTATACAGTTTTATTTCTTAGTTTATTCACATGGTATCAGAGCTTTTGGCTCTTCTTGGGAAGCAAAATTTTCAACCTTCATTACTGACTTCTATTTTAGGCCTTCATTGCCAAACCCTATTAAGGCCTTCATAGCCATATTATTTTTCCTTCTTTAGCCTTCATTGCTAAGAGTCATTTTTGATTATATCTTAAGACTTGTTTCAGTTCAAAGAAAGATATCATTACCACCTAATTTGAGGAAGTGTCAACTGAAAAAATCATCGGAATACTACAGATGTCTCAAAAACAAGGAGAGTTAGACAGAGAAAATATTGAAAAGCTGAAAAGCCTATTGAAAACTCTTGAAAAGCCTACTGGGGTATATTCCTTGGGTAAGATCTCTAGTTCAGGTAAAACTTCTGGTTCTCAGGGATTAAATGTATCGGTTAAGCCTATTATAAGTTATTGGGTCATTGACTTAGGAGTCATAGACCATATAACACATTCCTCACAAAAGTTTAGTACATATATCATGTGTCCTAGTAATAAGAAAATTGTTATTGCAGATGGTTCACTTACTACAGTGGCAGGATTAGGAGATATTCAAATTAATCCCTCGTTTGTTCTTAAAAATGTTCTTCATGTTCCTGGATTGTCTACTAATCTAATATCTATAAAAAACTTACTAGAGATATGAACTACAAAGTGACTTTTTATCCCTCTTATTGTGAATTTCAGTACTAGAGTTCGGGGAAGAGGATTGGACTTGCTAAGGAGAATGATGGACTATACTATCTTGAGACATCAAACAATACAAGTAATATCAAGAATAGTTTACCTTTGTCATTTTTTTCTAAAAAATCTCCCAATAAAGACAAAATCTGGCTTTATCATTTTCGTCTTGGACATCCTTCTTTTGGAACTTTGAAAAACATGCTTCCTTCTTTGTTCAAAGGATTAAATGCCGAAAATTTTCATTGTGATTTTGTGAACTTGCAAAGTATAGACATATGTCTTTTCTAGTTAGCAAAAAAAAAGTTCTACTCATTTTTACTTGATTCATAGTGACATATGGGGTTCCTCTACAATTCCTAATATTTCTGGTGCAAGGATGTTTGTTCTTTTCATAGATGATTGTACCAGGGTCTCTTTGATATTTTTACTTAAATCCAAATTAGATGTGAATAGTGTGTTTTTAAGCTTCCAAAACATGATCCAGAATCAATTTGGAGTGAAAATCAAGAGTTTAGGTCTGACAATGCAAAAGACTATTTCAACCAAAGTTTATCTACCTATTTCCAAAAGGAGAGGATTATCCATGAGTCGTCTTGTGTTAATACTCCACAACAGAATGGAGTGGCAGAGAGGAAAAACAATCATTTACTAGCTACAACCCGAGCTTTACTTTTTCAAGCAAACGTACCCAAATCCTATTAAGGGGGAACTGTTCTCACTACCACACATTATAAATAGGTTACCTTCAAAGATTTTGGGACTGAAAACTCCTATGGAACTACTCTCACAATTCTGTCCCAACTTTAATATCACAAACAACTTCACACCTAGGATATTTGATTGTACATCATTTGTTCATGTTCACAGTCACAATAGGGGAAAGTTGGATCCTAGAGCAATTAAATGCATTTTTGTGGTATATTTATCAACTCAGAAAGGGTATAAATGTTATCATCTTCCAACAAAAAAATTCTATGTGTTTGCATATGTCACTTTTGAAGAAAGTAAACCATTTTTTACTCAACCTTATCTTCAGAGGGAGACTTCATTCATGGAAGACAAGGATAAAGACTTCTTTTTGCTCGATTTGTAATCTTCTTCAACAATTTCACCCATTAATTCTTCTAAGTTGAAACTTGTTTCTTCTAAGCCTAAGTCAAACACTGAATTTGAGTCTGAACCCATTCCAAATACAAAAGATGTGACAAAAGATAATATTGTTATTGATTCTATGAAGGAATTAGAAGTGTACTTAAGAAGGAAAGTTTCAGACCCTGCACCAGTGCCAGTCCAAGAACCTGATCCTAACTCTAGAAATGAGGTAACTATAGTCTTTTATTCTGTTTCTCAAAATGAGCATGAATCTCCTAAAACTATAACTAGTGATCTGCCTATAGCCATTAGGAAAGAAACCAGAGAATGTATCAAGCATCCACTATACCCAATTTCTAATTTTGTGTCATTGGAAAAATTCTCACCATCCCACAAAAATTTTCTTGTGAGCCTAAACACTATTTCTGTTTCAACTACATTATCCAAGGCATTATCCAGTAAGAAATGGAGGCAAGCCATGAAAATAGAAATGGAGGCCTTAGACAAAAATAAGACATGGGAACTGGTAGAGTTACCTAAAGGAAAAAATTCAATTGGGTGTTAAATGGGTTTTCACTGTAAAATACAAGGCAGATGGTACTGTTGAAAGGTATAAAGCCGGGTTAGTGGCTAAGGGCTACACTCAAACTTATGGAGTGGATTATCAGGAGACTTTTGCTCCAATTGCCAAGATAAATACAGTTAGGATTTTGTTATCATTGGCTACATATTACAATTGGCAGCTTTAACAATTTGATATAAAGAATGTTGTTTTATATGGTGATTTGGAAGAAAAAATATATATGAAGGTTCTACCAGGATTTGGAGGTCATCTAGAAGCAAACAAAGTATGCAAGCTGAAAAAGGCTTTATACGGCCTTAAACAGTCTCCTAGGGGCTTGATTTGGGAGATCTGCCAAAGTGATGCAAGTAAGCAGAGTCAAGGAGATCACACATTGTTTATCAAGCACTCTGATTCAAGGAGAGTTACAGTTCAATTAATGTATGTTGATGATATAATTGTAACTGAAGATGATGAAAAAGAGAGAGAATCTCTAAAACAATATTTGGCTAGAGAATTTGAGATAAAAAAGCTAGGGAGATTGAAGTACTTCCTAGGAATTGAAGTAGCTCACTCACGGCATGATATTGTCATCTCACAACAGAAATATGTGATGGATCTTTTGAAGGAAACAAGGAAGCTCACATATAAACCTGCAAATACCCCTACAGATCCTAATCATAAAATTGGAAAAGCTAATGAAGATGTTGCTGTAAATAGAGAGATGTACCAAAAATTAGTTGGAAGACTCATTTATCTCTTACATACTAGACCTGATATAGCATATGTTGTGGTGTGGTAAGTCAATTTATGCATAGTCCTAAAGAAGTGCACCTACAGGCTATCTACCATGTATTACACTATTTGAAGGCCAATCCTGGGATAAGTATCTTATTCAAAAAAAATTCAAGACTAGTTCTAAAAGCATATACAGATGCTAATTATGCAGGTTCAGTAACTGATAGAAGATCCACCTCAGGCGACTGCATTTTTCTAGGTAGTAATATTATGACTTGAAGGAGTAAAAAATAAAATGTGATGGCAAGATCAAGTGCTGAAGCAGAGTTCAGAGCAATAGCTTAAGGAATTTGTGAACTATTATGGTTAAAGATTATCCTAGAAGACTTAAAGATCAAGTGGGATGGACCAATGAGACTCTACTGTGATAACAAGTCTGCAATAAGCATTGCACACAATCCTGTGCAACATGACAAACAAAACACATTGAAGTAGACCGGCATTTCATAAAGGAGAAACTAGACAATGGGTTGATTTGTACACCGTATGTATCAACCAAAGGTCAACTTACAGATGTGTTGACTAAAGGTCTCACAATGCAACATTTCAAGAAATTATTTCCAAGCTGAGAATGGAAAACACCTATTCACCAGCTTGAAGGGGAGTGTGAGAAAACACTAATTTACAGCTGGTTGTAATCATGTAATCTGTATATTTATATTTGTATCCCTAGAATTAAATATTTGTATCCCTAGAATTAAGGACAAAAATTAGGATAAACAATCCCTCAATTATAGGATCAGTTTTTAGGAAGATTTAGTTTCCTAGTTTAACCCTTAGTTAGTTGTATATAAACCTAAGGTGCTTGTATAATTCTTTATGAGCAGTTTTCAATATACATTAAGTTTTACTCTTAGTTTTTCACACAGTTTTATTTCTTAGTTTTTCCACACAATAATAATTACCATAACCCAACCGGATAACAGATGTCATATAGCACTTTTATTTCATAAATAAGTATTTGAACAAAAAAAATTATAAATTAAAGAAGAAAAAAACAAGAAAAATCCACAAATCAGAAACTGAGACATAAATTATATTGCTTACAGTTGAGCCTGCATACAGAGGGGCAAGTAAAGCATTGAAAAGCCCGTGAACATGTATGGTATGAGTTAAGGATCACCGTCAGGCAATATTCTCAAAATAAGGTAATTAGCATAAGCACTAAAGAAGGTAATAACAGCATCACCAAGGAAGCATGATTGATCAATAGTTACATGTTCATGTTATTTCAATTATATAAATGTTTGTTGATGGATATGATGTAGTGGTAGACAATGCAGAAACTGATCAGTAGATGTATACTCCCAAGCTTCAGCCAGCATTTGCACCTGAAATAAAGAAAAAGTTGTCAAAAGGTTAAATCCAATTCAAGCATTAGAAAGAAAAGAAAAATGAAGGAAATGCAGAAAGTCAAGAAGTTCATAGTTGCATTATCTGCTACTGCTCGTTGCGTTATGGTATCAGTTTCAAAAATGCATTATTATTTTCAGGCATTTATCAAAACACTAACTTCCATGCATGATAGTATAGAACCTATTTTCCGAAAATTGATTTGGAGAACAGTTAGCTGAGGGAAAACGTTTCTATTTTGTTTTAATTACATCATATGGGTAAATATTACCATCATAAACATTTAGATCTCATTAAACAAGCTTGTATATCATATGGCATATTACAATAGAGGACAAAAATACAGAATGCTCTCTGGATTTTAGTTCAAATTAAAGCAGTAATAATGTTAAAAAGAAAACCATGTTAAGGTTAGTTCAAAAATCATTAGCTATATACACAAATATTTAGAAAATTACCTGTGCAGATATGCTCCTGTGGGTATGAACTACTCCTTTAGGTTTACCTGTTGTACCACTGGTGTAGACAATCAATGCTGGATTTTCACCTGCACATTGAAAAAGAAAAATGGGAGTAAGAGAGGAAAGGTTTATCCAAAAACACAAAAGATATAATTTTATAAATTCTCAGAAAGGTTAATCATCAATCCCACCAGAGTTCAAAACATGACCTATCAAACTTCCATCAGCTTCTATCTCTCCAATTTGTGATTTATCAGTCAAATTTGGGGATGAGAAAATGCTGGAAACAGGAGGAATTAGAGAAAACTGTGCAGCACTTCTTGCAGCAACACTTTGCATAGTTTCATGATAGTCTTCAGTACTCAATACAACAGATATATCCTAATACAGTAACAGAAAAAAAAAAAGAGCAAAATTGCACATTTAAAAATAAAAGAAAGAATTCCAAATGAGATAAGCAGGGTGACATGAAAGGAGACAACTCCCAACGCTCATAGGATTCTTTAGCACTAGTTATATGCCATTGAATACATACCAGATTAAATAAAATATCATCTAGTTGTATATTTTAACTTATTACATATTATTCTAAAATCAAGTTGCAGAGTACTCCTTGACAAGCTTACAAAACCCTATTATAGTTAAAGATTAAATGCAAACGTGAACAGAACAAATATACATGGTTTGGGTTTATAGTAATTAACAAACTAAGCTCAATAAGCAATTTAAAGAAAGGGAAAATGGAGGTAATTCCAGGGAATACCGAATCATTCATAACATGCAAGAGCTCAGCCTCAGGATAGCTGAGTGCCAGCGGAACAGCAACACCTCCATTTAACCAAGTGCCCAGCATTCCAGCCACAAACTCAGCAGAAGGTTTAGCAACAATACCAATTCGAGCTCCCCGAAGATTTCCATGCCCACTAATGCCTCCACCATTCTGAAATCACCAAAAGAATAAGTACAAAAAAATAACTTCAAATTCAATAGCTAGGTTTGTTTAAATGAAATGCACCCAAAGCATACAATTTTGATATTGGAGCTGGATAGCAGCCTAGAAATGTTGAGTGCAGAGTAGAAGAGTTGTGTGTAAGTATAGCTCTTTTGATCAGCTCGAATTGCTATACTCTCTGCAGCGGATGGCCTCGAAGCTGCTTTAATCACATCCATGAACGTACCTGATTTAGAACCCGCTGCCAAAAGACAAATAGAAAATAAAAACAATTTAAAGGGTATTTAGTAACATATCTGGAAGAAACAAATAGCTTTTAAATAGCATAAATTCCTTCGAAACGATAAAGATTAAAAGCTTAGTCACCCATTTCCTCAAACACCAGACAGACACTCGAGTAAAAATCCCAGCAATTTCCAGCACTTTACTATTAGATTTTCTCAGCAACCAAAAAAGAAGAGAGCGAGAGCTAGAGAGAGTGAGAGAGAGAGAGAGAGAGAGAGAGAGAGAGAGAAAGGAAATTACAGGAGTGAGATGAAGAGGAAGAGAAGGAAGAGTGGGTGAAGGGAGGTCTGACGAAAGTATAAAGATAATAATAGCAATTGTTAAGAACGCGATAGTGGTTAAAAGGACAGGAGCGACGTAGGGCGTCATAGTTGAGAGCCTTAAATGAAAAGGAGATGATGCTACCCCTCATTTACCCACTTTTTTCTTCTTGAATTAAATTTGGCTGCCAAATCTTGGTTTGGTTTTTTCTTCTTTTTTTTCTAATGAGCCGATTATTCAGTTACGATCTGAAATGTGGAATTTTCGAAAACTGATGGTAATAATGATACAAAGATTGGTGGGGAGTTTGGACAGCCGATGGTCGTAACTCATGAGCCGAAAGCGTGAAAAGAGCCAAAGCCTAACCAATGCTGACAAATATAGTTGGGAATGGCGGGTTCAGATCAAACTTTCACGCAAGTTTCCCCACCTGTTTTTAAAATGTTCTTCAAAATAATAATAATAATAATAATAATAATCTCATGAATCATTTTTAAATTATATTAAAATATTTAATATAATCTTTAAATTTTAAAAATTATTCGTATAATATTTAAATTATAAATATTTTAATTAATGTGATATAACAATGAGATTGTGATCTATTCTTATATTTAGAGATGATGTGTGAAAAATATTAATAATGGATGAATTGAAAAAAATAAATAAAAAGATGTGAAAAAATAAAAAAAAAATGAAAGAAAATGAAAAGATAAATTGAAAATCATAAAGGACAATTTGGATAGAAAATATCTAAATTGAAAGCAGAAAAGATAGTTAGGCAAGGTTCGGGACATTCAAAATGGTTTTGAAAATTTAATGTAATAAGTTTTTGAAAAAAATTTTGAATTAATGTTAAAAATTATCTAAATATTTATCCGATACAAATATTTATCCTACCAACATGCTTTGAAATTGTTCATTTGCCTATTTTTACCAAACTTATTAATTTATTGCTCACCATTTCTTCCAATTACCTTGTCTTCTCTCATTTTTGCATCTTTTAAAATAAATTGAGAAAATATATAATTGTATTATATTTTTCATAAATTGAAATGATGATAAATAAGTTATTGATAATATTCATACAAGATTCTAGCATTCCTTTGAAGAGAAATCTAAGATGATCGAGGCGAAAAGGAAAGGAAAAAAAATGAAAAAAGCTTGAAGAGATTATTTGAAAAGACAAATGTGTTGACCAACTAGTGAATGTTGTGATGAATCAGTTAATATAATCTGTAAATCATGACTAGATGATGAAAATAATATGGATCAATTAACGAAATTTATGAATTGATTTTAAAATTGTTAACACTGAGAAGCTGAAAATGAAAATATAATATGGTGAAATCTTGAGAACTTTATCATCAAAATTAGAATTTCATAGCATTGATTTTAGTAACATTTGCATTATATGCATTGTGTTTATGTTGTTGTTTGAATAGTATATTTACATAATTTGGTGAATATTTGAATTTTTATTTTGATAATTTCAATTGTATCATGGTTTGGACATGTATTTGCGTCATGTAGTGAACATTTGATTCATGATTTAGAGTATGACATCTGCATTTATTGTTTAAGACATGTATTTGTATAATGTGGTGAAAATCTGGATTGTTGCATCTGTATCATTTAGGAAACATTTGCATTATTATTATGGCATTTATTGTATGCAAAATTTTGACGTTGGTGGAAGGAAATTTCGAAATTTTGAATTATTGAATGAGGAAAACTTTTTAAAATAAGATTTTAAATCCTCAAATGAAAATTTTTTATGATTTTTTGGATGAGGAAAACATTTAAAATTTTAAAGTTGTGGAACATTTGTTTTGAATAAGCATTTTCAATATTGAGAATGATTTGTAAGACTTTCGGACATAATTTTTAAGAATTTTCAAATACTTGAGTTTCAAATACAAATATTTGAATAACTGTAAATACCTAATTTAGTCCAAGGTCTAAGTCAATTGGGTTCAATTTAGTTTCAGGCTCAAAAGTCCAATTTTATATAATTTTTTATTAATATTTATAAATGTTTTTATAATTATTTTATATTTTATATTTATCTTTGTATTTTCTTTATCTTTATCTTTAATTTTCTTTATTCTTTACTTAATTCATTTATCTTTATTTTACTTTTATTTTTTATTCTTATCTTCATTTTTACTTTATTACATTTATTTTATTATTATTGTTTATCTTTAAAAAAAAAAATACCATAAGTGAAAAATTGAAAATGGTTTGACTAAGTATAAAATGTGTATATACTTTCTTTTGTTTTAGTAGATAATTCATAAGATTTTAGAGGGTTTAGATAAGTTGATTTCTTTTTAAAATTTTTGATTTAAAGTGTTTGTATTTGGATAATATATGAAAATTATAAAGTTTAATCTTTATCAAACTTGTAATCCTAATCAAATCTGAATGCTTTCCCTATAAATAACTAAGCAACAATCACAGAGGAGAATAGAGAAAACAACTGAGAGAAAAAGTAAAAAAATAGTTTGCAGTGAAGGTTCTAAATTTGAGAAAGTTGGTTTTTTTGAAAATTTGGTAATTTGTTAAAGTTTGATTTAGTTTAATTTTGATAAAAACAATGTGATTGAAAGATTAAGAAGATCTAAAAGCGTCAGATTGGAGTTTGATTTATTTTTTTTTTAGGAAATTTAGAAAATTTTTAAATTTTCAAACAAATTTTTAATTTTTCGACAAATTTTCCGACAACATTTGCAATTTCCAATGACTTTTCTAGTAATGTTTAAATTTTTTTAATGGCTCATTAAATTTTCCAACAACATTTTCTAGATCACAGTGGAATTTGCCATTACTAGTGATCAAAATTCTAGAGAGAAAGTAGAAGAAAAAAGAAGAGAGAAAAGGAGAAAAAGAAAAAATTGAAGAAAAGACTAATTTTAGGCATTTTATATCTCATAGTAACCCGAAGGTTTGCACTTTTTTTTCCCTTTTATTTGTTTATTTTTTATGAGTTTTATTTATTATTTATTTATTTTTGATATATTTTCCTTGATTAATTTTTTAAGGAAAATTATTAGGCAAGTTATTCTAAATTAAAAAAATATAATAAAGGTTAAAAATAAATTTGTAATAAAAATTTGAAAATAAATAATGATGAAGAAATTTTTAAAATTATAAATGGATAATTTTCTTGAAAATTTCTAAGTGAGAGATTTTTTCTAAATTTAATCTAAATGAAAGAAAAATTTAGATAAAATTTCAATAACAATAATTAGTATTTCTTTTCAAAGTACAAAAAAAATCTAAATAACTTAATAAAATTTGGAAATAAGTTAACAATTATCTAATGATGAAATTTTTAGAAATTTTAAATGATTAATTTTATAAGGAATCTCTTGGTAAAATTTTTTTTTAAATTTAACCCAAACGCTGAAACGATTTAAATGAAATTTCAATCAAGGTAATTGCATTCATTTTTAAACCAAAAATAAAAAGAAATATAACTTATACACTTGTTTAAAAATAAATGACAATCATCCAAAGTTGAAATCTCAAGAAAATCACATATGGTTGAATTTCTAGGAGATTACTAGGTAAATGTCCCTAAATTAAACTCAAATGGTGAAAGAATTTTTATGAGATTTCAAACAAAAATTGTCATTTTATTTTCATTCTAAATTTTAGGAAATCAATAACAAATAAAATTTAATAATGAGAGTCTAAATTCTAAGAAATATATTTCTAAATTTGGTTTAAATGATAAAAATTTTAGATATATTAGAAATAAAACTTACAAAATAAAAAATAAATTCCAAGGATAAAATTCTTACTAATCACAAAATAGATGATTATCTAAGAAATTTTTTTGTGAAAAAATATTTCTAATTTTGACTCAAATTATGAAAAAATTAGATATAGTTTTGATAAAAAAAATTTAATAAAAAGCAAATGATTAAGTTTTTCTTCCGACAATAAAACATCTTCAAGAAAATAAATGAAACTCTTAAATACTCTTGAGGTGAAAAAATATTTTTATTGATTATACCAGATTGATGAAAAAATTTTAAAAATGATTTTCAATATTTAAATATTAAACATTTAATAAAAGACTATTAGAACCATAAACCCTTAAGATAATTTAAATTTAAATAATAACATCTATTGAACGGATGTGTGAGAGTGTTATAACATTCTCTATGCATAATGAAACTTTCAAATTTAGTTTTTAGATGTAACCCGAAATCAATTCTTTTAAGAACTCTTAATTAAGCTTAGGATTTCTTTAAAGGAATAGATTTACCTATGTGACCAATTGTACTTTTAATAAAAAAAGATTGATAATAAGTCCTATAATTACATCTAATAATAAATTTCCAGATTTACAAAATTATATGCCCTTTTTTAATCGAACTCTTTTGACAAGAAAATAAGTGTTAAAACTCACTAGTGCAAATAAAATCAATTTGCAATCATTTTAATCGTGTCTCTTTTGACAAGGTTGAGTGAATTTCTGCCAACCTTACCTTCTAAACTTAAAAGCATGATTTCAAAACTAGGTTACATTACACGTGCTTTTACTGTATGCACCAACTATTCATTTGCACAATCGTACATGCATTTATTATCGAACTAATTAGTCCGTGCATTGCATAATAATAACAGTGTTTTGAAGAAATTCTCATCTACCCTTTTAAGGAAGACAGTATGGGCACCGACAGCTGGTCTTTAAAACTTCAAAAATGGTAAATCCTTTACCAGCATACATATAATATGGACCGACCAATATTAAAGAGATAATGGTGCTCAGCACATAGCAGTTATGAAGAGGGTATGACAAAACTTTGCATGGGAGTGTAAACTTTGGGGAACAACAAAGCACTGAATTATTAAAAACTTTACATTTTTGCATGGAAGTGTGAAATTGAAAGAAGTTTTCTGAACTAGACGATCTTCCGCTAAGCTTACCTTCACTGAGCAGTTGTGGTCTTGATTGTTGACTACAGCACTGAATTTCATATCAATCAACTATGAAACTCTCATCAACATGTAGATTCTTCACCATCAAAAGACACTTCAAGGTCCAGTAAAAATGAGAAGGAAAATTGAAAAACATCATCGACCTCACCACCTATTCCACAAGGAGGAAGTGACTCCTTGTGGAGGAAGAAGTGTGAGGAGGCCTAGCATAGTTTCCTTCTCCTTTGGTGTCAATGGACCACCTCTAACAAGGTCCAAAGCCATGATGTGCACATTAGTCTTTTGACAGTGCTTTTTGTAAGGCCACACCCCTGCAGCAGCACCTGCAACAAGAAGCTGTCCCCCAAAACCTCATATTTTTGTTTAAATATGAAACACAGGAAAAGAAGACAATTAACATCAGAAAGTCCTAAGATCTTAAACAGACTGGTGATGGCCACAAGGCTGCAGTCTGCATATCAAACTTAAGGGTATAAAGTACCGTCTCTCCATAATCTTCTTCAAGCTTTTTATAAATCTCCTTGTCACTCTTTCCGGATTGAATCTCATTACGAATTAACTGCAGTAACAAAATAAATGTTGGAAGTTTCTCGTTTCCGAAGTTGCTATAAGATAACCTTAGAATTATAGACAACAAAAATTATGCAACAAGAGTACCAAGAGCATAGAAACTCTTAAGAGTTAAAGGAACAGACTAGGATATCTTCAGAAGAAAAAGTTAGCAAATTGTTGATTTTGCAACCCAAATACAATTCATAGCTTTAATTATTCAGAGTAAAGCGAGGCTAGATGCAGCAGTACCAGAGTTTCATTGAATGGAGAAAGTTGGAGTCTTAGAAATATTGGAACATGCAAAAGTTCATTAACACACAACAAGAAAGGGTCCAATTGGAGATGGATTGGAGGTTAACAACATATGACAAGAAAACAGGACCTGAAAAGCAAGCCACTGGCAACACAAACTAAGGGTTCAATTCAAGTAACATTTTCACCATAATTATGAGAACTTGATCAACCAGCCCCAGAAAAGTCTAAGTGTATGATAACAGATATTAGACGTTTGACAACAATTTCAGTGATAAATTCTAACAAGAAATGAAGTCTTTTTTTTTAATGAGATTATAACAGTGAAAATGTGTTAACAAGCACTGAATTCATCTGATTGTCTATGCTGAAAGAAATAACTTGGCTTTTTACATGACCAATTGGAAGAGCATAAAATATTCAACCTTTCTGAGGAGAATTGCAATATCTGCTTGAGAATCTTCAATGGATTGACTCCCACACTCTGTACATCGCACATTGTGGCTGATATTTCTTGCCCTGGCTTCCACAACTTGTTTCCTTTTCACCTCATCATCTTTGTTTTCCATTGTCAATATAAATCACCGCAGATTTCAAGAAACTGTCAAAAACATCTACAGATTAAAACATCACCAACATTAGAATTTGCTAGGCCTTTCTTTTTCATCAGTGAAGCACTTTATCTAACACTTTGCTTAAGGAAAAAGAAAAGCAGAAAACAAAGTACATTGACACTTTTTCTCAAGCCTTTTCTTCCAATTGAATGATTTAGTTCAACCCAAAGTTGGAAACCCAAAAAAGTTATACATTTACTTAAAAAGCTGGATTCAGTATAAAGTAAACAGACCTCTTTCAACTGAAGCTAATAACTTTCCATTTCTAACAGTAAAAAAAAGAGGCTCTTCATTCTCTTAGTTAGAATCCAGCACTTGGGTTTCCTTTTGTTTGACATTTTCATCAACTAAAATTCTCAATTCTTTTCAGTTTTCTTTTCCATTTCCTAAATTTTCTGGGTCATTCAAACGGAACAAAGAAAGAATAGAATAGTAAGAATAAGGAGAAACAAAAACAAAAGAGAATAACTGATCGGCTTACATTCACCGACTGATGATCAATTTCAGTGCTTGGATTTGGATAAAAGGTTTGGATCATCGAAGGGTGTTGAGGGTGTGGAGCGGGGGGATGGTTAGGCTCTCTCTTTGAAACTTGTTGACGGAGAACTTGCCATGGAACTTGGAAAGGACGTGGCACTCGTGGGAACAAATTATAAACCGGCACGTGCATATCAGTGGTTTAGCAAATATGGTGCTTTTCTAGTTTTTTTTAATATTTTAAAATTACTTTTCATGAAAATTTGTTTTTTAGATTCTGGTATTTATAAAAATCGTTACATTAATTTTTTAAAATAAATTTAAAATTTGCATATAAAAACACATTAAAATCAATTTTTATATTTTTGTAAAAATCAAATGACAAAACATTTAAACAAAATGAGTATAAAATTACACTTAATATCCAAATCTCAAAGACTTAATTTTTTTTTTAATCCTATGAACCTCATACCTTTATATTTATACTCCTACGATTGAAAAATACGCTACGAGCAAGGCTTATTATACTAACTAATCTAAATATCAGCTATTAAAAACTTAATAATTCATCATTTCTGCAAATAATAAATTCACAAAGGTATATTTAAATTTATAATATGACAAACTAAAATAATAATATATTATTTTGTATAGTTCTTAAAATTTTTAATGCAATGTATATGCCAAAAATTTGTTTATTGAGTAGTAAAGTCCAATGCAAATGTGAATTTAAAAGTTAACCCAATTGGTTAATCTTTGAAGTTAATTTCAATAACTCTATAGAGAAGCTTAAAAATCGGATAATTCAATTTTTGCTGTTAATAATCCTCTTTATAAATAGTTTGTAAATTCAATTTAAATAGACAATCGTCTTTGATAAATAAATTTTTAAATTTAATATAAAACGGCATTAGACCTTCAATATCTCCTTATCCTAAAATGAAATAGCTTCCCTTGACTTAATTTTTTTTTTATAAAAGAAATACAAACAAAAATTTTGATCTGCTAATGAGCCTTACCCTCCAACGACGAAGTTGGCCATAGCTCATTACTTACTGCTAATTTCGTCAAGTTCATTTCAATATAGAGATATAAATGATACATTAATACTCGTAAATTATTCGAATTCGATTCAAATAAAATTCAAATTCAACTCAATTATTATCGAATCGAGCTCAAATAACTTGATTCATCGAACAAGTCAAGTTCGAATATTCTTATATCCGACTCGAATAACTCGTAAGCATAATCGAACTTTTATATTTAAATATATTTTTATTATTTTAATTAATAAAATATCTCAAACTCGTACTCAAATTCAAATAATCAAACTTTTATCAAATATAAAAATTAAACTTATTTTTTTTATGTTAATCTAACATAATCGAACGAGCTCATGTAACTTGATTTCTATCTCGAATCGAACTTGAACTAAAAAAATAAAACTCAATCAAATTTTAACTAAATATCAACTCTTAAATTTCGAATCGAACTTGAGCTTAATACTGTATTGATTCGAATTCGATCAATTACACCCCTACTTCAGCTTATGATTTATGGCTGTTTGTAGTTTGCAAAACACAAATACAAAGAAAAAGATGATTAATTGTCTTAAGCTATTCTCTTGAAAAACACTACTATTCTTCAATCCTAATTCAAATACACTTGCCTCAACTTATAACATTTCCTATTTTTTGCACCGTCATCTTATAAAAGATAATCATTTCATGGGGAAAAAAATAATATATCTTTATTACAAAAATATACTATAGTACATATAAAATATGAGGCAAAAGAATCAATTTTCAAGTTGGCTAGGAAACAAAATTTTCACAATAAGATATGTTCTATACAACAAAGTAGAATACATCTGAGTTTGACAAGGGGATGCTTCCTGAATCTCTCATGGATAAAACGCTTGCATAAACAACAACCTTGAACTAGTGAGTATAAGAACAAAAATTCTTTGAATAAGCATTGCATTAGCTAGATCTACTATAAGTATACCATGCACATCATGTCTCGGAATTACCACAAAAAAAAAGAATTTTGCTTACGAGGTATTACCCACTGTAGAACTCATTATTTGGATCTGTCAAACGCAGACAGGCAGCATTTAGCATAGCAAATAGAATGGGAAAAATAAATAATAGTTTCAATTTTGAAAAACAGAAAAAAATAATACCTTATTCACAAGCAAGTTAACTTGCTCTCTGTACATCTCCTTCAAGTCTACAATATCAGCACGGAGTTCCTCCAGCTGGATGGATGCAACCACTTAAATGTAAGAACATCATGGATGACAACAGTATCATATAATATTCTCATTTTACGATGGGAAAACCAGAAGAAGTCAGAAATACAGCAACTCAATGAGACATGATATTCAAATTACTATTTAGTTAAGCAAAGGTTATATAGTCTCTGCTTCTTGATCTAGTGATACCATACATCAAAATCATATTTGTAAGCTTCATCATACATCCTTGAATACAAAATTTTTGTTTGCTGCATGAGAAAGAATCCGAACTGAAAAGGCATGTACCTCCTCATCACGTTCACCCATTAGCTCCAGAGCAGCAGAGTGTCTCCGCCTCAAAGCTTCTAGCTCTGCCCGGATTCCAGGCAGCATGGCAGCCTCTGCCTTCAACTTTTCACACTGCAGCAAATGCATACAAGGTTAAAGGCAATGATTGAGGAAAACATAGAATAGAATATTGATGAACAAAACCTCGCTCACATTTAGTTAGGCAACAGATGGAAACCTCACCTGTGCAGTCATTTTGACTAACTCCTCAGCTAAAGAGTCCCGAATAGACTCCATCGAAGCCTGAAGTGAACAACAAACAAAGCTAGTTGATATAAGCTATTTAAACAATAACATGATAAAACCCAAAACTCAAAATCAGGAAATATCCAGGATTGAGCACACAGTTTGAACATGTAATGACGGATTTATTTTAATCCAAAAGCTTAAAGAATAATTCATACCAAACGAGACATGTAGGATGCAAGTTCACCCTCCTTTTGACGAAGGGCAGATTCAAAAGCACTAGGTGTCATGCTCTTCATGTAGAGTGGACTTAATGTTGCCTCTCCAATATTTCTCTTTTCAAAGAAACCATCAGATGAGTCCAAAGAAGCTTGCAGAAAATAGCTTTCCTCCATGCTTCCTATGCTGCTAGCAGTAGAAAGTTTCCAGGACAAGCTTCCTGCGCCAAAGTCACATAATAAATAAAGAGATCATAAAGATCAACTACATCATAATACGAAGCATCATACCATTCTCCAAACCAGAATTATGCCTTGCTACTGGACCTTGCTCAGACACAGGCATAGAATGCACATGTGCTGTCCTTTCCAAGTCTAACCGAGCAGCTTTCTCCCTTTGTACTTCCTGTAACAAATCAAAAGCTTCCTTCAGTAAATTAAATCATAAGATCAAATCTATGTACTAACAGTTAAAATGGTTCCTATGTTCATATGGGCATAATAAACTCTTAAGGAACACCTCATGTAACTTCAGCAGACCTCATTTAACTGCAGCAGATAATTTGAGAGAAGTTTCAAAATACTAAACCATGTATGTAACTTTTATTATCTGCAATCATATGAAGAATACAAGATGGTCTTCTTTATTATCATCAGAGTTAAAAGAAAAAAGAATTCAAGAAAGGCAATTCAAATGAAGAGATTTTCCCTTGAAGCTATACAAAGGGAGATGACTCACTTGGTCAACAAATGTAAAGAGATTAACAGTGATTTTAAGAGAAAAATAAATCAAAAGCACAACCTGCTCTAGAAATTCTCGGTGCACAAGAGCATCTTGTAACTCTTGCTTATGTTTCCGTCTTAGTTCCCTAATTTCTTCCTCAAGCTGGTTTGCCCGACCTTCGTGAGTATCAGCTTCCTCCTTTGCTGCAAGGTATTCCTGTCTATTTTCAGCAGCTCTCTGTCTCTCTTTCTCAAGGGACCTGCTTAGCTGTGTTTGTTCTGCTCTAAGACATGAAATCTGAAGCAAAGCAAAGGTTAGACTGATACCTAGAAATATTTCCACAAATAAAACATAATCAGCCATAGAAGTAGAACCTGAGCTTCAAGAACATTGATTCGCGACAAGGTTTGAGATAAGCGTTCATTCACAGATCTCTCTCTCTCTTCAGCAGCTGCAGCTTTCACCTCTGCTTCCTGTAAATTCAATAAAATAGATAATTTTGAGAATAGGACTCTGTATAAGCTTCACATGTGATAACATAATAAGCAATATAACATTCTAGAAACCTGTAGACGAGAGTTTAGAGATCTCTCCACAGCAGCCCAAGCTTCTGCTCTTCTGGAAGTTGTTTCCTATTAAATATAGAGCCAACAATCAAATATACAATCAAATATACAAACAAATAAAGACCAATAGTCCTTGAAGCTTGTTAAGAATGCATCAGAAAAACATATTTCCACCTGCATGGCTTCAATCTGCCTTAAAAGAGGTCTTGTAGACTCAGGCACTTGTGTAATCAACTCCTCACACCGACGCTCACTTGCCTAGAAAACAAAATTAAAGCTATGAACTACTGGAAATAAATTTCTGAAAGAAAAGATATAGATTTAATATCTATATTCTTGGCAGAAACTCAGCACACTTGATAACGTTTTTGAAGATCTTCAATGTCCCGGCGAAGCACATCTTCCCTAAATACTGCCTACATAATTAGAAGACAAGAATATCGTCATTCTTTTCATATATTAGCATGATAACATCAGAAATCTCAATTAATACAAGGAAAAACCTGCTGCTCCTTTCTGCTTAAGGTTTGCCTTAATTCTTCAAGGGTCTGTACTAGCAGGGCTTCACGTTCTTCAGCCTCCCTTAAACGATTTTCTAGTTCTGTTCTGGCTTCATTGTTGGCACGTGCTTCTGCTAGTGCTTCAGCCTGCTTTGCTGCATTTAGAGCATTTGTATAAAAGTCTTTCTGAGATGCAAGTTCTGCTTGGTATTTTTCAATTGTTTCTTGTAGCAACTTCTCTGTGGCTGTTTTATCCTTCTTTATGCTTTCTACCTTGTTCTCTTCAACCTGAAAGCAGAACAAGGAGCATGCATGATCAGCAAGTTGAAAGAACTTATTTGTAAATGAAAGAATTATTTTTATTCAGTTCACAGTAATTCTCGGACAAAAGTATGCCCCCAAAAAAATATAATACTGAAGGTCAAGATTAAAATATCCCCCAGGTCTAGAACTTAGGGGATATTCACTTCTTCTCAGGTCCTATGGAATTGAATAATATTTTCAATTCATTCGGACAAAAATAAAGTAATAAAGAACATTAATAAAAAATAATAAGCAGTGTTTCTTTTTCTTTTTAAGTTTTGATAGGTGAATAACCAAAACAATAAAGCGGCACCAACGGCATGGCAATCCAAGATAAAACTAATAGCATCCTGTAGTTCTATGAAGTTCTGTCTATTGAACCCAAAATAGTAAGAAACCAAGAATCCAAATAAGCAAAGTGTAAATACAGAATATAAAACAAAACATTTATACCAAGCAGTGTTCCAGAATTATAATGAACAAAGCTATATGATATAAGAACACAGAATTTATGCCTTGTAATACTACGGGAAAACCAATTAACCTGAATGGCATTGTTTTGCACAAGGGATGTTAAAAATTGAACATAGTATAGAGTTTCATAGTACAGCTGATATTATCTTGAATTCTAGAATAATAGGAGGGAGAAAAAATAATCAACCAACATTCCAATTTTAAGATATGCACTTGCCTGAAGCTTTGTAGTCAAGCCTTTCTTCTCCTCTTCGAGCTCTCTAATCTAGTATCACAAATATGCGAGGAAAAAGAAAAGCAAGAAAGTGAAGAGAAAGAAAGAAGAGACTATTTACTGGAAATTTAGAAAACTCAAACAAGCACCAACATATTGTCACACCTGAGCCCTTAATTTCCTAATCTGGGCTTCTTGAGCAGCCTGCTTCTTCGAAAGCTCTTCACCTGAGAGGATAAACAAATATCTTGCAATAAGAATGTATAGAGAACAAGGTGATTAAATTTGGTCAAGACTCATCTAACCAACCAAATCTCAATCAGACACTGAAGATCTGCACCCAAGAATACTCTTTTTTTACATTGAAATCCCATATGTGGTAAATTATAGAAGCCTCCCTTAGATTTCAGCTCCATTGTAAGGGATAGGTGGGCAAGGAATTGGTGATATATATGGAGAATTTTAACCATTCCCTTTGAAGAATTCTCTCTATAAACAACTTATACCCTGCCCACCTGATCCTCCTCTTAAATGTATGGCCAGCTAATGCTACTCAAGTTATTTCTTAATAACGAAGCATTACCATATATTCTCCATAATAGTTTGGCTCGTTTCACCAAACTACATTATAAAGAAATGATGTGAGGACTATCCAACAAGTGCCAACAGATCCAAGAGAAGGAAATAATATGGTTTTGAACAAGAAAAAAAAGTTATAAAGCATCGCATCAAATGTAAACAGGAGCGTTCAGAACTCACCTTCAGCCATCACTTGATTAATTATTTCATCTTTTTCCTTCAAAAGAGCAGCAGCATCACTTTTTTTACTCTGCTCTCTTCGAAGTGTATCCCTTTCCCTAGTTAGAGCATAAACCTGGAAAAACACACATGCAGAGACAACTAAACTTTAAAAACATTATATTTGAGCTGAAAAAGATGACCGTTTCCAAGAATATCTGTCTGCTTATCATGATACTCTATGAAAGCATACAACATGTTTGCAAATGTTCAATAAATTGCAACTATAGGGGGCAAACTAATTGTCATTTGGCACCTTTCCTAAACTACCCTAAATGAATTAAATCTCATAAAAGAAAACTTCTTCAATAATGGAGAGAATTGCAGTACAGAAAAAAGAAGAAATGCAAACTATTATTGGGGGTAACCTTTGAAAAGAACCAATTTTGTTCATCATTGAGAAAGATGACTGCACTGTTATTTAAAAGGCACTTTAAGCACTATATCACCTCATCATTGATGCTGTTATGAGAATGAGAAGTACAGAAAAAGTATTGCTGAAAACTCGAGATCAACCCATGTAATAACCTCCTATTATACTTAATCTCATACATATAGTCAATAATACCATTTAACCAATACACTCCAAAAAGATATCTATGGCATGACGATCTTTTTCCTTCATAGTCAAGATATTGAGACAACTGAAAAGTGCAAGTCTTAACTGGCAACCTATTCCACAAAACTAAATTACTTAGTTATAAACATTACTTGTGGCTACAGTGTACTGACACAACAAAATATTAATAAAGGATTTGTAGAACCACTAGAGTTGAACTCAGTGAATCATATACTCCTTTTCATTTTTTCATCAGAAATGCAAAATGCATTACATATAATTATCAATTAGATTTATAAAATGCAATGCAAAAAAGCTCAACTTAACTTAACCTTGATTCTAAACTTGTTGCAATAGCTTGCATATTGAATGATGATATACCTATAATAACTAACAATGGACAATGGTGATAGTCTTTATGCAATCAATTTCACTAGATACTCAACATTAGCAATTTATATGCTTCTTGCCTTCATTCAATTTTGAGCACTCAAAACACTAGAAAAAGAGTATGAAAGCTGATGTGCTCAAAACACTAGGAAAAGAGCATGAAAACTGATATGCAATCAAGGTCCATATACTTGATAGACATCAGGTATATATGCACAATGGAAACAGTGGAAAAGAAGGTGGCATCTGAATAAAATAGAAAAGTTAGAATATTAAGACTTTTGAAGAGATTGCCATGTGAATGGTACGGCAAGGTGGAATACCAGCACTTTAAAAGCATGCATAGCAATTAAAAATTTGTTGTTTAGTCCCAAAGAGGACATCCTGATAATAAGACCCTGGGGCTTTTAACTGGGAGGACCTAAATTCAAACTTCAAGGGGCATAGGGTTTATGGTATGGAATAAGGCTAAATCCTAAGGTGCAACACAAGGATAGTAGGCCTTCCCACTACATAACCAAGAATATCCTATTGGAGTTCATTCTGTTCCCTCATTAAGGAAAACCAAGGTTATTCACCACTCCAAACTCCAAAATTTTCAACAAAAAAAATTTACTGACTCAAGCTTCTGGAAGACGTCCTAACATTTGTAAATGACAATATCTAAAGGAGAAACATGAGCAAGAAATTAATACAGAAAGCAAGAAAAAGAAAGGAGGAGAGAAATGTGTGCAACATACCTTCCTTTCAAGAGTTGAAACCCTTTGATGGTATTCCTCTCGCAAAGACTCAACTTCTGCTTCATTGGATTTTCTCTGTTCCAAACTTTCAGCTGTTAAATTTTAATACTTTTTCATTTTTATTAGGAGAGATACAGAGGAGTATCTTTCTAGATATCTAATTAGAAGTAGTTATCACGCATTTCGTCAACTGGTGGATGACTAGTCTAGAAGCAACATAAAAAGAACAGAATGCAGTAGAAAGTGATTGACTTACATTCATAAAAGAAGAAAGAAAACTAGGAGAACTAAACTAAATGATGTTGTCATAATACTTATGACATATGATATAGCTTCCAACAATTTGAATGGTATATCATGGGAAGCAATGGCAATATTATAACAGAGTAAATTTACATATATTCATTTTTCATTGAAATGTGATAGAAAGCATTTAAATTAATTCAACTAAGAGCTGAACCAACCAACAACCCTATTACCAATTTTTAAAAGAAAGTTGAGCCATAAATAAACAGGTTAAATAGGTGATTGCCCCATGAACTATACCATTTATGTTACATTGGTACCTAAAGATAAAAAAAAAAAAAAAAAACATAGTTAGGTACCTAAAGTTTCTTTCTATCAGGTACTTTACCCTTTTTGGCTAACACCGTTACCAACAATGATGGCATGGCTTTTAGGGCCAATGATTAATTGCCAATTTCATGTGAATGCCAAACAAGCAAACATGTAAGTGTCATGTTATAGTGGGCCCATTGCCACATGAATAATAGAAAAAATTTAAAAAATAACAGAAAATGGAAAAAATTTTAAAAATTCAAAAATATGAATTTTTTAAAAAAGAATTCAAAAGCAAAAAAAAAAAAAAAAAATTCAAAGCAGAGAGAGATCGAAAGGGGAGAATCGAGGAGAGAGAAACAGGGAAGGAGAAGACAGAGAGAAGGGAAGGGGTGGGGCAAAATGCCGATAAACGTCGACACTGCCCTTCCCTTCTCTCTCTCTCCCCTTCTTTCCTCTCTTCTCTCTCTCCCACATTTCTCTCTCCCCTCTTTTATTGATTTCCTTTTTACTTTTTTAAGTTCAAAAATAAAAATGACATGGCATGTTTTGCCATGTGTCATGATTACATGGCATTTTTGCCACATGCATGACTTTATTAGGTATTTATGCCACATCACTCGTTTGACTAATAGTGTTAGTCAAAAAAAGCGAAGTACTTGACAAAAGCAAAATTTAGGAACCCAATTGCAAATTTTTATTCTTTAGGTACCAATGTGATATAAGTGGTACAGTTCAAGGGCAAATGTGTATTTAACCCTAAATAAAAGTCAAAGAAAATAATAGTCCCCATCATAGAGAATGATTTGAATAAACAGAATACCAGCCACTGCTAAGGCCCAGATATATAATCCATATAAACTAGCATTTTACAGCAAATATGCTTATACAAAATGTACTAGAGAAGAATATAACTCCACCATGGGGGCTCATGTCAAGTGCAATATGAACACCATACCATGCCAATTAATATATAACAGAAATTTTCTCAACATGAGAGATTCAACCATCTTTCGTCTGTAAGGATCCAATTCAAAGATACATTTACACAAATTGATGATTCTTAGGTGTGTAAAGATTTATATTAAGTTTTGTGCATGAAAGTAAAACCACATGTAAAACAAAAGAAAGCTTGACCAGTGACAATAAAATATAGGAGTATATGATAAGAAGCTTTTCTCAATATATTTATAGATCTAACACAAAGGTACAAAATTGTCAATGAAAATCAGGACAACCATCTATGCATCAATCTTTCATCATACATCAGCCATGGCACACTGCTATTATTACATTAACAGCCATGTCTTCAAGATGAATCTTCTAACTGATAACTTGGGCTTTGTTCATTTTAATCTCTACCAAGATATTCATTTTTATTCAAGAAATTAGTGCATACACAAAGCACTTGAAATCAACAGACAGAAGAACAAAACATATATAAGTGTCACTAGCACAGAGACAAAGCCATACCATGTTAAAGTTATCAAAGAGGGAATAAAAATTCCTGTACATACCTTCAAATCCTCAATTACAGCTTTAAGTTGCTCATTTTCGTTCATCAGCTTTGCAATTTCATCAGCTTTTGCCTGAAAAAGAAACAAATTGAAATTGGAAATCCAAGAACAGATAATATAAACTGAGATTTCTTTCCTTCAGCAACCTCTCTCTCTTGGACAAATGTAGCATAAGATATCATCATCAAATGTATGAAAGAGGAAGAAAGTTCATAAAAAAAGAAAAAGAAAAAGAAAAAATCAGAGGCATATAAGCTTCCCTTCTAATGTTAGCGGTAAAGGCATCCTTTTATAGGAGATAAAAGCTGGAGGCTAAGGTTTAATCTCAGAAAATCTGCCTTGCACAGAATGACATATATACCACTGTACAAACAACCCCCCCCCCCCCCAAAAAAAAAAAAAAGAAATCCTCTTTTCTTAAAACAAAAGAAATGCATTAAACAAATAAGCCTTTTGGTGTTATGGAGCATCATAAAGGATCTAACCTATGTAAACATATGAGAAAAAGAACAAGAAGGAAATATGCTCATGAGCTTCAGTCAAAATTAGAATGCCATTAGTCAAATTCTGATAAAAACGGCACCATGCATCATGTCAATCTCACATGTGCATGATTCCTAGAAAAAAACAATGGAAAATGTGAAGTACCTGAGCTTGCCTTGCAGCACCTTGCAATGCAGATTCCATCATTTTCATTTCCATCTTCACCTTCTCCAATTCATGCATAGAATCTGCTGAGTCAGACATGGTAGTTGCAGAACTCAAGCATTGCTCTTCTTTAGCATCTGTCTCACTATCATTAGACTGCCGATCCACTTCCTTTTTAGTATTTGCATCATTTTCAAGAAAAACTGATTCAGAAACTGTCCCTTGAGCCTCATCTGAAGGAAGCACAGTGGGCAATGAAAATTCCAGGGCACTGTTAGTCTCCTCAACACTGATAGAATATGAACTCAAGGGCACTTGCTCATCAGGTCCACCAATACCAGCTTGGCTATCACTTGATTCTTCAAATTTAACTGGAGAACCTTTCTCTAAAATTTCTTCTGGTTGTGTCTTTTGTTCATATTTAGTTTCATGAACGTCTACAGTATCACTTGACACTGGTGGTACAGGGTCAGCATCCTCAACTTGGTCTACTTCGGCAGCATCTAATTTGGCTTCCTTGGAGTCAGAATCTTCAGAAAGTACCACTTCTGAGCTTTCGTTCTGTTGTTCATTGTCAGGAGAATCTGACGACTCAACATTCTGAAATGTATATTCGGAAGGCTCTGCAGAAACTGGCTCTGATTCAGATTCAGCTTTACCAGGGTCTAAAATCACAGTATTCCCTCTCTCCACAGCCTCTGAATGTTCATTATCTTTTTCTAACTTGACATTTTGTTTATCTTCTTCAACAGTGGCTTTCTCAAGAGAATGAACAGACTCGTCAGTTTCAACCCCTTCTTTTTCCTCAAGTTTGGGTGGAGTCCAAGAAGGTTCAAGTTTTCCTAATGATTCAACGGCACCCTCCTCACTTTTATGACCCATAAAGGCCATAACTGGATCAAAGAGTGCTTTTCTGTCTGAAGACCACAATCCTGAAACTGGAATGATTATAGACAAGAAGTAATAAGTATGATTGCTCCAAAACCCACAATATAACTTCCATATAATTGTGATCAACATGCTTTTCAATTTTTAAATTCTTAGATTTAAATGAATAAGCAACTAAAAACATCTTTTCCCTTTCTCCTTTTCTTTCTTTTTGTTGGACATCATACCAAACAAAAACAAGGTCACCAGCTTGTAGCATTTCTTTAAGTATGAGATCAGCATTTACATTTTCATGCAAGGAATGTAAGAAAATACTGTAATATGTAGATAACTTCATTTCAAATAAAGTGAAGAAGAAAACCAAGTTAGGGAACTCCAAACTCCATTAGATTCCACATAATGGGAAATAAAGCAGTTATAAGATAGCAAGTAGGCTTTATTTTCTGATTATTCCAAACTCAAATAAAATAGTAGGAGAATAAAACCTTCACGGGATTATTCAGGAACAGGGATTGGTCAACAATGCAAACCTGGTATTCATGATTTTATTTTTTCTTATTTTCACATTTCTACCTGCAAGAATAAGATTAGCACCCCAATGGTAAGTAGAGGTAAACTACAAGTTAGGTTTTCTATTTGAATTCCCACAAGATGGAACTAAAGCACTATGCTTTACTTGCAACAGGCCACTGGGCTAACAAACTTTACGACTGTAGCTTAAAGGACCAAATAATTCACACAAAGCTTCCTACACTGATAATAAGAGCAGCCTTATTCACCTAAATGAACTTAATATCTTAATGCAAAATTCATGATAAACAGAGGTTTACACTAGAAATTTGCATTCAAATACATAGAGATTGCACAAAACACTAACAATGTGAGCAATGTAAAACAAAAAAAAAAAAAAAATACCTTCATTGCTGCTTGATTCAGACTTCTCTTCGAAACCGAGAGCAGTATCAAAATTCTTCTCAATATTCTTCACGCTCTCCTGGAATTTATTGACTGCCCCGGCAAGATCAGGAAAGCCCCCTAAGGACACCTTCCCGCTAAACCAAGCCATCCTTCTTTTTTTTACAATAAATACCTAAAATAACACCATCCGAAAACTCAAATCAACAAATCAGAAACCCTTCGTTGACATGCCCCAAATTAATTAAAAAAATAATCAGACAATGCCGTGATCCAAATTGTTCAAATCAGAATCCAACAAGATCTAAATTGAAACTTGTAAACAAGAAAGAATTACGATCCATTCAAAGGAATGAAAATTCTGAGAACTGAGAAACTAAGCGTGAAAAAATTGAAAGAAAACTATGAAAAATCACTGTTTTAAATAATTAATTGTTATAAGTAAATTAGAGAAAGTGAAAGAGACACCTGAACTGAGAAGGATACGCAGTTAAATCGATTTGAAATAAATTATATATATTTGTTCTAAAGATAACGCGAGATTCAAATTACCGAACAAAGATTTTTACTTTTCTTTCATTTTAAGAGAAACAAAAAAAAAAAAAAAAGAAGCCTGAGTAAGAAATCGAACCTGATAGAAATGCGCGTGAATTTCAGATTTCAAATCATTAAGATATGTTTGGTTTACAAAGTGAAAGAGAGGTTCGGTGGATCCAGGAAACAAAAAATGGGGTCGATCTACTTTTGCTCAGCAACGTCTTTTTTTTTTTTTTTTTCAATGAGGCTGATTGATCCAAGGTGGTACGTCGTCGTTTTCAGCGAGACTGAAGTTTTTGGCGTACCGAATATTTCAAATTTTAATGAATAACTTTTTTTTTCATTTCAGTTCCCAAAAATTATAAATTTATTATTTTTATTAAAAATGACGAATTAAATTTATTTTTAAACTATGTAATTTTATCATATATTTTAATTTGATTTAAAAATAATTAAAATTAATGGTAGAAAAACATTTTATAAAAATAACAATATTTTTAAAATATTTTTAATTTTTAATTTTTATAGAATTTAATTTTAAAAAATTTATTTAAAATACAAATGATTAAATTAAAAAAATTAATTAAATATTATTTATGAGATAAAATTTAGCCATCCAATTAAATTGTTTCACACTAAATACCCTCTTAGTGATCATAAATAACGATATTCATGAAAAAAGAAAAATATATGATATTATATAAAAATATATAAAATATATATGATTTAAATTTTTAATAAAAATTATATTAATTTTAACAAAAAAATTTTAAAAGTATGAAAACACAATTTAATATAAATAGATATATCAATTTTATTCATATCTAATAAAAATTTTGACTTTTTATTTAAATGTATATAAATTTATATATTAAATTTTTATTGAATACATAAATGAAAACAAATAATATACCATTTGTCTTTATTCATATCTATATATATATATATATATATATAATAAATTTTTTATTAAATAATATAAATTGTCATTTTAAATTATATTAAAATTAATATATTTTTATTATAAATATATTAATATATATTTATTAAAAAAGCTACTTAAATATATATAATAAAAATTAAAAAAAATTAAAAATAAATTTTTATTTTTATTTTTTAAAATATTATGATATAAAAATTACTCATATATATTAAATATTCATAAAGATAAATTTAAAATACTTATTAAATATAAATATGAAAATATATATAATATAAAAATAAAAAAATAAAAAAATAAAACATTCTTCGTCCACCATTCTCTTGTCATTCACATCCCTAGAGATAAAACATGAAACTAATATAGGAATAATCAGTTGTTAACACACGGCGTTGTACCGAATTACCAAGAAATTTCAAACAATAACAACAAAAATACCCGAATTAACTGTTTCATAAATCATCCACCTCTTTTATCAGTCTTTCTTAAATACACAAACTTTTGCTTGAAAATCTCTCTTATTAATGTATGTGTAACATACCTTACATTTCTTGTTTGGATGGTAAGGAAAATCGAGCAAGAGGAAACAAACGAGCCGAAAATCCTCCATCTAATTGATTTGGCTTCAAAAACACCAAAAACAAAAAAGCTTCAAATGAAATCTCCAGTTTTTTTTTTTTTTAAGAATTTGATTCCTCGACTTCCTTCACCTCTTTACATATATAGTGAATCAGAAAATCTCAAAAGTAATGCAACAACTCGAGATCGAGAATGGAGATTTGCCGCCAAAAACGACCGAGCTAGTTACAGTTACTCCTTGTTTCCCGCCAACAGGGATCAAATCAGTTGAAAAGACGAGGGATTCAGTTAAGGTTACAGTTACAGAGAGATCATCATCACATTTCCTGCCAAAAAAGAAGCTGCCTAGGCAGCTTATATTCACAGAGTTCGGCCTATCTCCCGTCATCACCACCTCACCGCCGTTGCCTATGGTGAAGACGAGCTGGGAGCCGCATCTGTCTACTCGGAGTCCTTTTTCCTCGATGTGAGTTTTGTTTTTTTTTTTTTTCCTTTTTGGAATTTGTTCTTGCTTTTTCCGGTTTTTGATTGATTGGAGCTGAAATTAAAATTAAAAAAAAAAAAAAAAAGGAGAGAAATGTAAAATCAACTTTAATTTCTATTTGGTTGCTGAGAAATCATAGGAAAAGGGAAAAGAGAACGGAGGGACAGGTGCTTATAATAAAAGGTTTAAGTTCAAGGTTGTGTCTTCTTGCAATTTATTTGTCATCAAGCTTCTTTGACTTTCTTTTTACTTTTTTTTTTTTTTCCTAGCTGCAAATCAGATTCTCCAATACCGATCCCACGGACTAATATTAAAGGAAACAGTGGTACTCCGAAGGGTCCAAAACAATGCGGTTGCAAACAATCCAAATGCTTAAAATTGTGAGTTGCATTACTAAATTTTTTGCAGTTGAAGTTTGAGCTGCTTTATATATAGTGATGAATGAACCGTTGTTCAGTCATGCATTAGCTTCTTTCTTGCTTAACTGCAATCCCAAACATATATAGAATTGAATGTTAACAGTTTGAATTTGTTGTTTCTGTTATATGCCAAATGACAATCTTTTTATTTTCTCTCTGGAATCTGGTATTCTAAAGTGGTGAAGTGAAAATGTATAACTGCCTGTCCCAGATGGACAGTGGTTTTCTTGCTTTCTGATCAACTATTTTTTCCATCAGTTTACCTATCTCTCACTTTTCCCCTGCATTCAAAGCAGTGTCATTGGTAAGTTCATTCTGATTTATTTTCTGTCATTGCTTGATAAATTGATGTATCCAACCTGTAACTCCGCAAGGATTTGCTTGATTGGATGCTGCATGATGATTTTTGTTTTGCATATAGACTACATTGCAATGCATTTGCTTTTCATAGATTTAATCTCTAGAATTTCCCATGCACAAATGGATAGGTATTGTGAGTGCTTTGCTTCCGGAGAGTATTGTAATGGGTGTAGTTGTGCTGATTGTTGCAATAATGTTGAGAATGGGGATTTACGGAAAGTAGCTGCTGAAATCATCCTAGAACGTAATCCACACGCCTTCAAGCCAAAGATTGCAAGCAGTCCACGTAGTCCTCAAGATTTTGAGGTATGTAAGTAAATCTTTCAAAATGCTCAAAAAGAAAATTGCCCCTGTTACTTTTCTTGGGTTGGTTTTGCATGGTCTATAATCATTGCAAATATACATCTAAATTCAATTTTCTGCACATGAATACATTTGTTAAAAGCTCCTATACAGAATGGAAGAACGCAGCAATTGTCAATCAATCGCTTGACCTAATTTATCTGCTGAAAATTTCTTGTCACTTTTCATCAATGTCAATTGTCAGCATCAACATGATCATTTTGGTACATAGTTAACATGTTTTACTGAAGAGAATTTAGCTCAAGGCTTAATGGGAAATACTTATCATTACTTGTTCTTCAAAAAAGGATGCAAGAAAAATGTTGGTTACTTATCCCTGAATTACGGTGTTTGAGAGAAGTGGAATTTTGTTCAAGTCATCTGTACATATCTGCATCTTCTTTTTTGCCATGAGGGCTTTCAGGTTTAGTTTGGATCACACATGAACTAACCTGCTTTTGTTATCTGTTAATGTTTTCTTTCTTGTCACTTTTCTGTAACTGTCAACTGCAAAAATGATTTGCAAGCAGGGTGATAAAGACAATGCTCCACCATTGGGGAGACACAAGAGAGGATGCCACTGCAAGAAATCTGAATGCCTCAAGAGGTACTGTGAGTGTTTCCAAGCTAATATCTTCTGCTCTGAGAACTGCAAATGTGTGGATTGCAAGAATTTTGAGGTATGCAAGGAGATGATGGCTGCTTCTGGCAAGGATTACAGTAAGTTCAAAATCTGTAAGAACTCTGAAAGATGTGAGAAGAGGATTGCTATTTCCCCGAGGGACGATGGTAATAGGAAAACTTACAAGAGTTTAAAAGGACCTGAGGGGCTGACGGTAGTCACTGCTGAGGATTGTATTGATACCAAAATCTACAGTCAGAAGGTTACTGCTGCAACATCAAATGCCACTTGTTTATCAGGCCAGTGCTTGTCCCAGGAATCCAGGAAGAGAAAATATCAGGACCTCCATTCAAATGAGAAAGATTCACGAAATCAAAGCTTCTATTATTTTCAAAAGGTATTAAATTCTTTGCTACATTAAAGTATTGTCTTTACTTTTTGTGTTTGGGGCTACACCAAGCTGGTATTTACTAATTCATATTACAAGATTCCTTCACCTGAAACTGCAGGGGCTAAAAACTTTCAATTGGGTAAGTTACTGAGTTTTTCTTCTTCTTTTGTTAGGTGAATAATCTAAAAAATTCTTCTCCATCGGCTACCTTGTCAGTTGAGCCTACTTGTCATATCAATAATTCTGCCATGATGGGCTCTTTTTGGCATCCACACAGGTTTATATTATCCTGAGTTCCTGACTGATTCCTTATTTACTTAAAGACAGTGTTATTCTTGTTTCTTAACAAAAACTAACTGGTGATATCTGATTATGGTGCAAGATTGACGTTAGCTGATGTCTTTTGTCTAAAAGACACAAGAAAAGTCCGCTCAGGATTGGCACTGTTAGCAGAAGCTGCAGCGTTAGCACAAACTGCCAAACTATTTGCAGGTATACTGCGGTTGGGAACAAAACATTATATTCTAATCGTTGTTTATCTATCCACTTTATCTATTGTTTTTGATAACTTGGAACAATGTTTAAACTAAACCTATTGTCTAACTTTCGCCTTACCATAGCCTTGGTTATCTTTCAAGTGTAATAAGATGTTGAATTCATACTGCAGAAAGATACATGTGACTTGGGTAAAATTTTGTTTACAACTCTGCACTATTTTGGCTCAGATAAAGTTGGCAAGGCAGAGGTGAAGGATGCAGGAGAAAACAAGAATGGAGGTACTCTTGGAGCCGAGGGTGACGACTGCCACGGGGGACCTGCTCATGTTCAGAAAAGGGTCCCCGATGACCTTAGTCTAGGTTGTGGTGCTGCTGATGCGCAAGAAGGAAGAGCTTTGCTTCCTGAAACAGTCAAATTAATCTGTAATAAGAAACATAAGCAGTTCATGGAGCCTACGTCTGCAGACCAGATTTGGAACTGTAACCTAAAGAATGCCTACGCAGAGCAGGAAAGGTCCGTTTTGTCAAGCTTCCGAGACTTTCTTGAAGAATTCATCATCACAAACGTAAAAGGTAAGATTCCATGCCTCATTTCATCT